TTAAGGTTCCTTTAAACCTAAAAAGCTACAGAGATGTTTTTTGTCTGTGGTGCAATTTTTTTCTTGAGGGTTATATCTACAATAGTAAAGTTCTGTAAAAATATGTCTTCCTGGAATAAATTATGTTTTGAGTATATTATTTAAAGGGTTTTTATCATGCATCATGATTTTTTGATATAACAAAGTTTATATGCTATTAAAATCATCCATCAAAATTTTTTGGTTAGAAAATTAATATTTTGGTTGTTTCAGCGATTCAAAGTTTAAATTTCTCAATATGCATATTTTGATCGCCGATGTTGCGCGCCATTGCTCTGACGTCATAGGTGTCAGTCCTGGTCAAGCGAAGTACTTATTGTGTTTACAATGGCTTTCTATAAACCCTACTAGTAATTAAGAAATGATAATTGGTTAATCAATAGATATTTATAAATAATTTGTGGCGTTTAGATGAAAAATCAGCACAGGAAAGGTTTTAGGAAGTTTCTTTTAAACTTGGTCGGTGCGAGGATTTGTCTATATATTCAGAGCATTGGTTTATGTACGATCAAAATTTTTCTGTATTATATAAAATATATATTTAATGGAAATAGTATTTTTTTTCAAAAAAAAAAAAAAAAATCAATATGCATTTAATGCACAAAGACTAAATCGTAATATTTTGTCCTTTCTATCAAATGATGTTCATTGCTGGAACAGATAGAAGGTACACAAGATCTGTTTATGTATAATTTATTAAAATAACGAAGAAAGAAAACGTATGACCATTTTTATAATTATTTAAGAAGTCAAAGGTTAATAATTCGATCTATTTAGTCGAAGCCACAGGAGTTGTCAACGGCTTCGTCTTCAATGCCTTCTCCTCTTTTCACGGTGTGTTTTTTATTTATTTTTATGCTGTAGAAGTTAAAACATATAAGATTGAGCATCCATAGCCAAAGTAATATTGTCAATATCAAAATTTCTTTCAACCTAGTGGTGTATTCTTTTTATTTCAGGCAAATATCTATACGGTATAGATGTTTTCTTACGATACGCTTTAAAATTGCCCATTGACACCTATGACGTTTCATACCACGTGACCCCTATCTAATTAGTGGAGATTTTCAATCTGAAGACCCTACATTACGGACGTATTATGGCTTAAATACGACAGTTTAAAGCATTATTTTATGATTAAACGATAATTATATGTTTCAAGAATATAATAGTGTTTAATTTTTAAGAAATTTCTATGCGTGATAAAAACCCTTTAAAGAGCATAAAAATAAAAGTATCGCATCACAAAGGTGACATTACTTGAATGTGACCTTAATTTTAACAAAAACATACATGTGAGCTTAAAAAGTGCGATGACATGTATATCTTTCAATTGCAATTCTACCTGGGCTTTGTATCTTGAATTAAAATGAAAAATAAATTACAGTTAGTTAATTTTTGAAACGATACATTTATAAGTCTCAAAATAACTCATTGACAGTATGTACCTGTATAAAAATGAATTAATGAGGAAGGTCCATTTCTTTACGACAAGAATAATTGTTAATATTTCTTGGTCTAGAACTACATACATGGACACGTGTGGAGATCACAAACAGTATTCAAGCTCTAACGTCCATTAAACAAAAACTAGGAGCAGAGCAAACCTTAAAAATATGACAAGTGGATCAGGTGCCATTGCAAAATAAAAAATCGATGATAACATGTATATAATAAATCAAATGATATGCTTTTAGGTCTGTAGAAAGCAATTTCTGTGTGCCAGCCACACCATTTAACTGGGGGCACTATCAACTACCACAAGCTTGACAAGCACAAAAAGAGGTCATCGGACGTTTTTATTGAGGGGCATAAGCATATAGTAGCTAACTTTTCTATAGTATTCTATACTGTGAATAAGTATGCAAACATGGGAGAGGGAGGCAAGACCCCTAATCCCGGTTCCTACGGGTATGCTTTTCTTGTAAATTAATGACAATATTATGGCAAAAAGATACTATTTCCATGATTAAAATACATTTTAAACGGTTTTGAAGCATCTATGCAAATTTTCATGGATGGAGACATCAGAGTTAAAACCGCCAAATAAATTTGTGTTTGTATTTTATTAATGTACTTAATTATTGTAGGCATGCAAATTTATCAACATTTATTATCTTGAACTCTTTTTTGAAAATCTTTTAAAATGAATACGTGACTATGTTATTATCAAGTAAAAGAGACAGATTTTACAGTCTGACATGCTTTTGAATAATACACTTATGTTTCAGAAATATTATGTTTCTGAGAAGAGACAACATAAAAGTTATGATGATATATGCAAAAAATTAATTTGAATTATAATTATGATATTTTACTTTGAATTACTAGGTGCTCTTCATTTGTCACGAATGCAACAAAAACTGAATTGTCTGTGCAAAATTAAGCATGCTGCATTTTTGAGAATTAATTTCATTTGATCACAATTTCATTAAACCATTCCGTGAAGAGCGCTGTTAGTTGATTGCATGATCAGGAAATATTTGTTTTGCTTTTTATGTCATGGGACTGTACCATGTTATGTTATAATACAAATAATTAGGATCCTACCCATAGGGGATATATTTAGCTAAATTACATATAGAAGGGTCGTCTTTCATTATCTACTTCTAAAGTTAGACAAAAAACAGCTGAGCTGATTTAAAAAGTTCATTTAATTGAATTCAAAAATTCGTTAAAACAAATTCCTGAATTGGTTATAGCAAAATAATAATAATTTTAAAAAAAACATCTGTTATAACAGATTTAATTGCGTTATTACGATTTCAATAAATCTGTAATAACAAATTAAAAATTCGTTATAACGATATAACGAATGAATTTGTTATAACAAATTTAATTCGTTATAACAAATTTAATGATATCTGTTTTTTGTTGAACGTTATATTAAATTCGTTATAACAAATTCAATGAATCTGTTATAACAAATTAAATTCGTTATAACGAATTCAATAAATCTGTTATAACAAATTAAATTCGTTATAACGAATTCTAAAAATCGTTATAACGAATTCAAAAATATTTTTTGATAGGTCCTAAATGGGCTTCCGTAAATTCGTTATGATGAATTTAATTTGTTATAACAGATTCATTGAATTCGTTATAACGAATTTAATTTGTTATTACAAATTTATTGAATTCGTTATAACGAATTTAATTTGTTATAACAGATTAAAATCGTTATAATAAATTCAATGAAATTGTTATAACGAATTCAGCAAATCTGTTTTAACAAATTCGAAATTCGTTATATCAAATTTCAATATTTTTAATCTGTAATAACAAATTAAATTCGTTTTCCGAAAATCATAACATTCTTATTGTCATTGTCATAAAGGCTGGTTTTTCTTTTTGCTAAACCAGGCTTAACAGTAACAAAAATTTATATGAAATCATAAAGTATATTAATTTTACTGATTCATTATATGATTGAATCTAAATTTATTTATTTCTATATTTATAAGCAATGCATGTACAATTTCTTTTAGAAATATGATTTTATTTTGTTAAAAAGAATGTTGGGCTTAAAAATATTTTGATTTTCTATGCATATAAGGCACTGAATATTTTTTCATGAAATTTGAACATCTTTGACTGGTCATCAACACAATAACTTATGCTAAAAATCACTCGATTTTGCACACAAGTACTCTGAATTTGATATTTAAAAAGCTCTGGGGTTCCCTCATTGACATTTTATGTATTATTTGGATACCTTTCCTCTAACAAACTGTTGGAACTCCAATAGGCATTAACTACCTTCTTTTAGCGGACCTGAATTTATATTCAGGAAAAAAAAATTACTTGTTGTGACCTGAAACATGTCATTCCGATATATATCAATTAACAATAGCTATACTAATTAATACATCGTCTCGGAAAATCAGTAAATATAAGACCACACAAAGTCTGCCAAAACTGCTTCGTGTTTGGATGTATAACTGTCTATAGACGATTAAGGACAACTAACGACTAAATTGTATGACATACGAGATGTAGTATTACTATCGTCAACTTTCCTTTTTTATGTAGCAATATTCCACTATCACCTGTACATGGTGTTCATGTCTACTAACTATAATGTGCGACTAAAAAGCATGCTCTTTATAGTTTGTTCAATTTTAAAACTGGGTCAGGCTCCTCACACTTAAGTTGATTTTACAGTGATTTCAACAATATCATTGAAAGTTATCATTTCGTAAATTCTACGGTCGTTATTATGACTTTGTTACCAGATATCACTGGCTCGTATATATTTGCTTACATGTTTCATGCTTATTTTTAAACTTCTGCACCTAGTTTTTTTTAATCAACGCATAGGGCTTAAGGTGTATGTGAACTCTCATATGGAAATACTTGTTCCTTCTAGGCACCTGGTATGGAATTTCCAGAGGTCTGTTTTATGCCCTATACACTGATTTCATAGGCGTCGGAACGGGAGGGAGGAGGGCTTAGCCCTCTCTAATTTTTGCAAATATATACATAATATAGGCATTGAAAATTGGACTTTACCTTTTTTTGTTGGTTTAGCCCCCCCCCTTTCAATTAGCCCCCCTCCCCATTTTCAATTTACTTCCGACGCCTATATGGATTTGTATCGTTGGAAGTGTTCGATCAAGATATCTTACAACAAACAATCACATCAACATAAACATATTCTGTCAATGCTATTTTTGACTTAAAAATTATATGTCAATTAACATACTGTAAAAGTATGGATTCAGGAATGTAGGTGGGAGAACGTAAGAGGTTTGAACGATATTTTCGTCTTATTTGTACCGGTATTTAAATTAAGATTTCTCAAGGTAATGAAATTATTATTATTATCAGATATAAGTACGTAGGTTCGTCATCCTTGGCCATAATAGCCCTGGGGTTGCATCTTTGCTAGTCCCTGATAAATTAAGTCTTCTAATCTTTCCAAAATTGTATAAGGTAAAATAAACAACTGAAGAACAAGATACCTTTATGTATGATTTATTAATATCTACTGGCTATTTTAAATCAAAATAAATACACAATGCAATGTTTATAACAAACGAAAATTCGTCAAGCATTTACATTGTGGTATGATTACCGGAAAAGTGAATATACATAGCTTAACCCTTGCCCTTAAAAGGAATGATGTATGGCAAATTGTACAAAATATAGCTCAACAGTTTTAAATTTCTAGGAGCAAGAATTTTAAGTTCAGTTATCTTTAATGACGAATCCTATCACTGTTATACTTTTAAAGATATATTGTGGTTTAGTTCCTCAGAAAGTAATGAGAACATTGTATATTATAATGTTTTACTGTAAAATATACTTGTCCACTTAATCATTCCATAGATTAGTTTTTATTCCATTACATACACGTTTTATTCTGTATTATAAGTAAAACGAAACCAATTTGCATAAATTTGAAAATATAAACAATAACACTGCTAGAAAAAATAGATACATGCAACGATAATAAAATACAAGATATTTGCTGGGTTGGGCAATTGAGAAAGGTTACACTGATAATTTTACGAAAATAATAAAACGCACAGCATCGTTAAGGAATGGCGGAGAAGCTTTGATGAGTGAAACTCAATTAAGTCTCATTTCAGCTACAATTAAAACAATAAGAGTTTTCGTTTGATTCTCTGTTGAGCATATTGTCGAATTGTCAATATCATACCTACGTATTTTAAAATATATATGCGATAACTATAATATTCTAAGCACGTAATGAATTATTAAGTCTTCTATTTAGAGAAGGTTTAATTGCCTCCGAAAACTAGACCTCCCCTTTCAGTCACAGTTTGATGCTATGCAATCCCTCCTGACTCTTAAATCTTGGATTTCAAAACAAAAGGCACAGAGGATATCTCCTGAAAAAAAAGAAACGGCATAATTTTATTCTACAATATGATGAAGAGAGACAGAGAAAGCAATTTTTTTAATGTTTGAAAAGAGGGAAGTTGTTTATATGACCTTAATTTACTACTTTTACAAATTTATTGCATAGTGCTTTTTTGTGGCTTTGCTGATGGACCTAGTCTATATTTAGCTGAACTTATTTCAATTTGATCATTGCTCCGTAATATCGTTAGTTTTAACTTTTACATATTACGTTCTTAAGTGCATGATGATTTTAAGAATGATATATTGTCATTAAGTCAATGACAAATCAATTAACATTTTTTAGGTTTTAATTCTTAAGATTTAAATAAACTTCTACAGAATGAGAAACGTTCAAGCAAATCTGCATATCCCTTGACAGCAATACATCATAACTGTCAAGTAAACTTGTTTTATATCTATATATACTCATATATAATAAGATAGTTGCTCCAGCTTATTAATGCCAGTCATGCAGACTTTCAAAATTTCCACCACGCAAAAAGTTAACAAATTTAATTTATACAACCATTAAACTGTTTCAATCGTTTCTAAAGTGATATAAATAATCGTTTTTATTACCTTTCATATGTAAATTAAAATACGTGTGTGTTCCTTAATAGTTCGAAGTATAAACTATATGTTTCATCATAATGTCGACTGAACCTTGTATTGTATCGACAAAGTAGTGAACTCTTTTACAAAGAATTAATTGTTGAAGTACCTTAACACAATGTTATTTTTCTGATTGTCAGCTTTTATATCCACATCCCACCTATCTTCATGTAAATTATCGAATATTTATTTATTAATTTATCTTTATTTTATTTTAAAAATCTAGATCATGCCATCATGAGTAATTCTGGCTCTGGGGACATTATACTTAGATGATCCCTCTTTTGATTTAATTATTATTCTGTTCATTACTAATTCCTTTTGTTAGACTGAATTGAAACTGTCAAAAGTAAGTTGCTATTAGTTTAAAGACACTGTGATCTGGTTTAAAAAAATGAATATTTCTATGACATTCAGAAAATATCAATTTATATGTAAAAGTATATTTTTGATTTAAAACAATTTGAATATCAAGTCAGTTTTAAGTGTGGAAAGAATATTTTAGATCCTATAAAACAGAAACATATCCTTACCTACATATTGATCTGCACTGATAGCTGGAGGTACTGGTACTACAATTAAAACACGAAATTGAAAAATAAAATTTCATGCAAAACAACTATAACTTCCCAGCATTAAAGATTTCTTATTTGTTTCCATGTGTTATCAGTATGTTTAACAGACATAAAAAAATCTTTATTGAGGCTTTCACATGATGTATTATAATTACATCCAGTTTTATTTAGTAGTATTCTACGTAAATTTCAAAAATTGTAAGTAGGGTATAAATTCTGGTTGTTGTACTTTTTAAACTATTTTTAGTTGTGTAGATTTTGTGAAAAAGGTCATTTACAGATTGTATCAAATCACGTAAGCATGGTGATCTTCTTGATGTTACTTTATATAAGAAGGGGTTTTAAAATATGTCAGCAGAAAAATTTGGAATTGCGAAACTGGAACCACTTCAGAAATTGTAATGGAAAAAATGACCTCTAAAACATTATTTTCTGTTGTTTTAGGAAATCAAAAATATTAAAGGAAATCAAAAACAGTTAAGTAAAACAATTGCATGAAGGTTTGTCTTTTCAATTATTTGCATCTACATCACCTTCGTTCTCTCAAAAGTGGTCAACATTAGATGTCATTATTTACATTTTTTCTTTTGCAAAACATTCCCTGAATTATGATCAATGAAAGAAACATCAATGTAAAGATGATATATATCATTTACTTAAAACGACGTTACCTTTTCTAATTAAAAATCTTAGGCAATAGATAAGCTTGCTGTTGTTGTAGATATATAACCTTTTTCACTTACTTGGAGGCGCCTTACAGTCTTCTTCACTACTTGACCCACCACACTCCTCCTCACTGCTGGAACTTGAACTCGAACTGGAACTTGAACTTGAATCACTTCCTCTTTCCTTTCTATCTTCTTCATCCATCATCTCCAAATAGTGATTCAACATATATCGTAGCTTTCTCCTGTTCTCCTTCTTCTTCTTCCCATATTTACGAGAGGAGGAAGCGATAGAGGCAGCTATCAAACTGATCAGGATTACGTAAATAAGAAGTTTACGACAATCCATGCTGCCTTCTACCTTCCTAGTGTGTCAAGTGTCAAGAAGATTTTGATTAAAGTTGTTGTAAGTGATGGTTTATATATGAAACACTTTAGTTGGGGCATTAATTTTAATTACGCGACATGCTCATTTACAAGCGAAATATATGAGTTAGATTACGTTTCAAACAAACTAAATTTCTTGTTGCAACAAAAATAATTATTTGAAAAGTTGAGTAAGTAATTTAAAAAAATTGCCTAGTTTTTCTTACTATTCTTAGTCTTGATGATAATAAGTTGAAATAATGCATGAGTTGTCTATTTTTTAAAAAGTTATTTTACTGAAATTTTAGTTATACTTTTATGGTGAGCATCTCCAAAGTTGAAAGGTTGATTAGCAATTTCTTATGGCCCCATTGGAAATAAGCAAGTTTCATATATTGCTTCCATGGACTATCCTAGTCAAGATTGATTTAAAATATGTTAACTTGTATGATATTTGATAAGATCTGGTTTTGAAAATCAGTAAATATCTGTGATAAAAGATAACTCTAGTCTGATATCCCTTGAGTGATATTGTGCAATTATGATAGCTGTGTGCCTAATTTCTTTAACGATACCAAAATTATATTATATTGTATTCATGTAATTGTATTATGATTGTTATGCATTTGATTCTTTGCATGAATAAACATAATAATATATTTATTTGATTATTGCAAAGCATGTTTCATTTTACAATTTGTTTGATAACAGTTAGTTGGACGACTTGGTCTCCTAAAACTGCATAAATGTTGTTCATGTGGATTTTCTTTTTTGAGAAAAATCAACTCCAGAGTACTATCTTTAGAATCAGAATCTTTTTATCGAAGTTATTTGTTGATGGTCAATGACAAAAAATAAAAATTGCCGAGTATTATTTTTATGAAAGAAGTAGCTTTTTATGATACGAAATAGCTTAAATTTTAATTTATCGTAAAAAACGGTTGAATACAGTGCAGAAATGTCGTACATTTTGAGTTTTGATGTCAATAATAAAAGTTGTGTAAATACATTTTTTTAAGTTTAGAGAACCAATATTTGAATTACACTTCTTCTAGAATATGTTCAAAGGCAGTTCTTTTGAAGTTTCTACGTTAATGTGATGGGTATTTTTGCAATTAGTTAAGATAAAAGTTGGTAGAGTAGGATATGGAGATAACGAACAGTATTCAATCTCGAAGTCCATAAAACAATACAAAATAAGAGCAGAGCAAACACGTACATCCGAAACATCAGAGGTGGGATCAGGTGCCATGGAGGAGTGAGCATCCCTTGCTGACCGGTCACACCCGCCGTGTGCTCCTTGTCATGATCAAGAAATAACGGAAAAATCCGTCGTCGATTCAGTGTATAAATACTGGACTAACAATTGGTATGAAAAACGTCAGTCAGTATTTGATTCAATGATAAATTGTATTTGCTGACAAGGTCATTGTATCGACCATAGCTTTCATAGCATTTGCTAGACCGACCCAGCAATTATCTTTAGAAGGATCTCTTTGAAGTTTAGGGAAACAAGTAATGATAGGGTTCATCGAGCTCATAGGTTGGTTGGAATGATAAAAGTATAAACAGTTAAATATGATTTTGAAGAATTTTATCCCTAGAAAGTGTACAGAAAGATTATTTGACATAAAATTCAAACAAAGTTCTTTCAATCTGCTGTCGAAACAATACTGTTACAAATACTGTTTACTGAAATCTTCGATTCAATGGTTGTATTTTGGATTGTGCATGGTTAGAGCGTCTGCTCTAGATTCGCGGAATAAGGAGCTGTTCCGTACGTTTCGGATTCGAATCCACTGTGTGCCGTGAAGTCCAGTCCTTTGGACGAGTCTGTTCAAACAGAGAACCTGTGTAACAGTAGATGTTGGCACAAAAAGATCCTTCGCTGCTCAATGGCCTTGAGTGACATGTATATGTATAAAATTGCAGTCCTCCACCGGTAAATGGTGGCGTCTCTATATGAGTGAGAGGGTTAAACAACAAACAAACATTTTTTTGCTAATGCTATTTATATATTTAGAAAAAACAAATACATTCTTACAAAGTTTCCATGTCGTTCTTTTCGTATAAAGCCCAATGCTCAACATTATCTTCGACAAGATTCAAAATAAAACTGAAATGTCGATTTTTTTTCATATGTTGAAGAATTCAGACAAAGTTTCTTCAAAATATTTACAAGTTATAAAATTCTCCATTAAAAAATTGTTTGAACTTTATTTTTAATTGAGCATTTTATTTTTATTCAATTAAATATCAAAAGAATAACTGAGCTTATTAATCTGTTACAGCTCTCACAATCGACGGAGTTTTCAAAAAGTAAATTTTGTTCCACAATGCACCTGTCCTTTTCGTGGAATGATAATTTCAAGAGGGAAAATTGTGACTTATACAATTGTTTATCATATCATTAAAGCATAACTACTTTACAAATAAAATTCATTGATTTTTAAGTATTATTTTTTGTTGATTTTATTGACTCAAATTAAGAGAACAAAATCTTTTAAATTGTACTTTTTATACATTAACATAACTCGTATGTTGATAAGTTACCTTGTTTTAAATTCAACTGGCATTTAAACAAATTAGTCTTGTTTTAATGACCATTTATGACAAAATTATGTAAATGATTGCTATTTTCGTATGTGGACTTTAATTGTGCAATTCAGAACGAAATCATTGAATATGTATATAATGTATATTATTCTTCGAAAGAATACAGTAAAATCCGACCTTAATTTTTTGTCCTAAATTCATAACTGCCTTCACGTTTGACAAAACTATAAAAATTGGCATCGTCCAAAACACTGGCTATGACTTGAAATTAACTTTAGCATTTGGCAGCTTTCTTGTTCAAAATGTTTACCTCAACTGAGTGGTTGTTACCTTTTTTAGACTATTTTGATTTCCTTTAGATGAAGAGCTTTATATAAAGATATTCTAAAATGATCAAATTTCAAAACTAGAATATATGAATTTTTTATTTGTCAAATGATAGTACTTGTATACAGCCATCGTCTCAAGCCACGGTCCGCATATAGCTCTCTCCTACCCGTGGCTGCTTGATCACAAAAAGTGTCGTAATCTTGAATATTTACGCCTCTCTATTGTGACGTCATATTCAGTCAGTGGCAAGTTTTGTTTCCATCGCAATTGAAATCAACAACTGACGTCAACAGTATACAAGAAATATTTCCTATACTGTGATTGGACATCGAAAGGTCGCGATTAAGTTCATCATCCGACTATGCTTTACGCGCATTGGTCAATTTTTTAATGAGCTACGAAGAATTCTCTCCTCGTTCAACCACGGCCAGAATGGGAGAGGATCGTACATTTTTGCCGTGGTTTGCGACGATGGTATACAGCTTAAGATATCAAATCATAAAAGTGAAGTTATATTTGAGAGTTTATAGTTATTGACCTCCAGTCTTCTTAAATATTGTCCTACGTCTTTAAAATATGGCAAACTATCCAGTTTTGCTTTTATTAGGTAATTTAAACTATATTTGGTAAAAATAAATAAACCTTTATTGGTACAATAATTTGTTTTATATGTTGAATTGTTTTCCCTTTTGTGTGCCTTTTGCATTTACTGCTTGATTTAATGATATGGTCCAAACAAATGAAGTAATACATATCACGTGGTTAATACACTCTAGCCATTTTTAATAGAAGAAGAACCCCGGAACTTACCAACAACCAACTTTTCACCTCTACCACCCTTTTTGGTGTTTCTTACAATTTAACCCATTTGTATTCTGTTTGTTATCTCTTTATTTTTATTTCCTTGTATATTGTTACTCATGAAGGATGTATGTATTAACGTTATGTTAATTTGGTGTACTGGCTTTTTTGCACCATCTTTTTGTTTTTAGCTCACCTGAGCCGAAGGCTCAAGTGAGCTTTTCTGATCACATTTTGTCTGTAGTCCGTCTGTCTAGCTGTCCGCCCGTCTGTCTGTCTGTCTGTAAACTTTTCACATTTTCGACTTCTTCTCAAGAACCGCTGGGCCAATTTCAACAAAACTTGCCACAAAGCATCCTGGGTGAAGGGGATTCAGTTTTGTTCAAATGAAGGGCCAAGCCCTCATTCAAGGGGAGACAATTGGGAATTAATAAAAATTTGGTGGCATGTTTGAAAAAAAAATCTTCTCAAGAACCCCTGTGCACGGAAAGCTGAGACTTATATCGAAGCATCCTCAGGTAGTGTAGATTCAATTTTGTTCGAATCATGACCCCCGGGGGTAGGGCGGGGCCACAATGGCCGACCAGTTTTACATAGAAATATATAGGAAAATTCTTTAAAAATCTTCTTCTCAAGAACCATTGTGCCAGAAAAACTGAAACTTATATGGAAGCATCCTCAGGTAGTGTAGATTCAAATTTGTCCAAATCATGACCCTCGGGGGTAGGGCGGGGCCACAATGGCCGACCAAAATTTTACATAGAAATATATAGGAAAATTTTTTAAAAATCTTCTTCTCAAGAACCACTTTGCCAGGAAGGCTGAAACTTATATGGAAGCATCCTCAGGTAGTGTAGATTCAAGTTTGTTCAAATCATGACCCCCGGGAGTAGGGCGGGGCCACAATGGCCGACCAAAGTTTTACAAAGAAAGATATAGGAAATTTTTTTTAAATATTCTCAAGAACCACTTTGCCAGGAAAGATGAAACTTTTATGGAAGTTTCCTCAGGTTGTTTAGATTCATGTTTGTTCAGATCATGACCCCAGGGGGTAGGGCGGGGCCAAAATGGCCGACCAAAATTTTACATTGAAATATATAGGAAAATTCTTTAAAAATCTTCTTCTCAAGAATAGTAAAGCCATAATTGACCATATTTATATGGAAGCATCCTTAGGTAGTGTAGATTCAAGTTTGTTCAAATCATGACCCCCGGGGGTAGGGGCGGGGCAAAAATGGCCAGCCAAAGTTTTACATAGAAATATATAGGAATTTTTTTTAAATCTTCTTCTCCAAAATTGCAAAGCCATAATTGATCATATTTATATGGAAGCATCCTCAGGTAGTGTAGATTCAAATTTGTTCAAATCATGACCCTGGGGGTAGGGCGGGGCCACAATGGCCAACCAAATTTTTTGCATAGAAATATATAGGAAAATTTTTAAAAATTTCTTCTCAAGAATAGCAAAGCCATGATTGGTCATGGGACTACTTTTGGATTTAAACTTTTCAATAATAAACCAATTTCTACTTTTTCCTCGCCACAGTGCTCAGGTGAGCGATGTGGCCCATGGGCCTCTTGTTATTGTTTCTATTGGCTGGGCAGTTTTTTCTTCTTGTGATTAGGGAGAATTATACCATGAGACTAGTCAGTAAGTTTAACTTGTCATTTTGTCATTCAGTATATATTTTGTTTTAAGCACAGCCAATTAATTGAATACACACTGTAAGTTTATGTAATATGTTATGTAGTTTTCGTTTTAGTAATTTGTTAGTTCGATAAATGACATTTTCACTTAATTGTGTTTTTGATTCATGTAATTTATACAAGAGGTTAAGCAAAAACTAGCTGCGAATAGCCAAAATTGTATTCTATCATCACAGGAAAAAATGTGGGTATAAATACAGTTTTAAATTTCTTCTTTGAACCCATAAAAATGTGTGAGGATGGATATATCCTGAATGACGACAGATACATTTCTACATGTTGTTTAGTTTACCGACCAGTATTTATATAACCACAAAAGATAATTTTCTTATAAGAGAGGAAAAATATATATGATTTTATATGTAGATTCAAATTTAAAAAAAGCATTTTTTTACCTTGCATGTGTAGATGGAAATTTTTTTTCAAAACCTATATAATTTAAATACAAAAGAAAAGAAAAAACGTAATATTTTAATTTTACACCGTGACTTTCAGCAAGAAGTACAAACGTACCATCATCTTCTTAATATCACTTTCAATTTATGTCAAGTTTAAGATAAAAAAAAAAGGATTCAGATGCCTTTGATGATATGCTTTTACTGTGAAATCACTTATTTTCGAGGGGGTTAATTTTCGTGGATTTCAAGGTATGAAGAGACCCTGACTTTATATTCACCACGAAATGTAATTTACACAGTAACTACTGAACAATTCTTGAACCACGAACTTTAATCCCCAGGAACCAAAACATTTTCCTGAAACCACGAGAATTTCATCCCTCGAAAATATGTGATTTTACAGTATCTTGGAAATGGACAACAATCAAGCGTACGGAAAGAAAGAGTAAAAAATTGAGGTCAATTCTGGGGGACCATGCCAGGTTTAATACTATGCCAGTTTTGAACACGTTTTTGTTCCGAATTGAAAACTTCCTTCTTTAGTGATTATGCTTATTCATTGCTGATGCTGTCCAATTATTCAATCCCAGTACTAGAAATGTTTGGGATTCGTTTAATTACCGCCATTTTTGCATAGAAATTGAAATTAACTAATGTATAATTAATTTCAAAAATTAGTAATTTAGATTTTATGTGAGCACTTCCTCAGACTAAGTACACAAAGGCATTCACCGGCTTTATATATATATATATATATATATATATATATATATATATATATATATATATATATATATATATATATATATATATATATATATATATATATATATATATGTTCCTGCATATATATAACCCCGGGCTGGGGCGGAAGTGAGTATCCTTGTAAAAGTGAATTTCTCTGTGCTTTCTATATTAATATTCCTTCACTTAGGGCAGTTATATTAGTTTAAGAGTTGTTGTATATATATATATATATATATATATATATATTCCATTCTCAATGACCGTGTAGTGTAGGGCAGCGTTGTGACCATGGCATCGAAAGCAAGTTTTTTAACTTGCCTAGATAGCCGAGCGGTCTAACGCGCTGTTCCTGCACTGCTAGGAGACAGATTCCGTAGGTCGAGAGTTCAACCCCGGGCTGGGGCGGAAGTGAGTATCCTTGTAAAAGTGAATTTCTCTGTGCTTTCTATATATATATATATATATATATATATATATATATATATATTACAAAAGCAACTGCAAATGGGGTTCCACTTGATTCGATATGCAAGATCATGCCCTACGTGTGAACAATTTTTTAATCGAAGTTACGAGTTATTGACAAAAAAGCTTATGAAACAAGAATATCGGCAGATTCGTTTAAAATCATCATTTTGTAAGCTCTGTGGTCGATACGATGACCTTGTCCGCAAATACAATTTATCATTAAGTCAAATGCTGACCGACGTTTTTCATACTATTTGATAGGCCATTATATTTGTCGACGGATTTTTTCCATTATTTCCCAATCATGACAAGGAGCACATGGCGGATGTGGCCGATCTGAAGAGATGCTCTCTCCTCTATGGCACCTGATCTCATGCCTCTGATGTTTTGGTTGGCTGTGCTTGCAATGTTCCTATTTTTGTATGATTAAATGGAGATTAGAGCTTGAATACTGTACGTCACTCCAAATATTTTATAAAATAATCTTTTTTCAGGTTACTGAGTATTCGAAAACTGAGACATGTGAAGTCACAGTACCAAAGTGGTCCGTTATCTGATTTTCACTTTTCCTTGACAGTCATCACGATAACTCTAAATTTTTTAGCCTTTTATTACATATTTGTATTCACGACAGTTCTCAGGTAAAGTATTAAAATGGTATTAAGCAGATACGCGTATTACTGTTTTAATTTCAAGAAATTAAACTCTGAGATTCAAAAAAACCTTTAAAGATTAAATTATTTTTCTGATTCCTAACTCTGTACTATATCAATTATTTTCAGTTTTAGCTCTTAATGATAAGCATTAATAAAGAAGATTACATCATTTTTATGATAGAAGTCACCGCAAATTAAAAAAGTAATGCTTTTAATTTTATGATAGCTCCTATGCTTAATGTGGGTTTAAAAATGTTTTCTTTGCATGATATTTATGCGATATGCTCTTCATGTAAAATTCAAATGAAATTCTTGTCAAAATCACTTGAAGTTTTCACATGTCTTATTTTTCGTGCCTTTTTCATGTTATCAAACTTATTGTTTTCATCATAAATTTCGCTAATTATTGACTTTTAACGGGACAATCTTGTATTACCAACCTCGTTTTCATTAGCTAGCAAATTTTTTGTTCCAACTGCATGCGTTTGCGTATGAACTACATATGATGTGATAAGAAAATTAAAAATGGTATAACAATGAAAAAGAAAATTGAAGTCATTATGATTAACATTAAATGTTGTTATGTTGAGAATAGTTCCCAGACCTTAAAGTTTGCTATTAATGAAAACTGCGGTAACTCACTTCACTCTCTTTGAAACAATAAGCTCAATTAAGAAAAGAAAACTAATTTGTTTATTGTAATTTTTTTCACGGATTCTTATTTTAATATTATTAATACTTGTATTTTGATATTGTATCAAAACTTCTCAAAGACAAATACATAACAATAAGGTTTTAATATTTAATTTACAATCGAATCATAAACAATTAGATAATGTTTATCTAAAGTAGAAAGCTCTATTAAAGTAGGCATACACAGTATATAGTTAGTATAGAGTACAAAATGAAAATAATGTATAAACATTAAAGCATTATAAATGTATCTAGGATATATCCCTCAAAGTGTTACATAATAAAACAAAAGTGTTTTTGTATAAGACATCTACTAAATAAATTCAAAATTCAGTTAACAGATCAACATCTAAACAGCGTTTTTTCATCGTTTACTGAGGATCTAATGATTTAAATCGTTTGTAAATTTTATAAATTCTTCAGCATTATATTATCGTCATTCTGCACAGTTGATGGCAATACAATCCCTACGAGCATTTGGATCTTCAATCGCATTGCACAGAGAGCAAAATGTATCCCCTGCAAAGGACAGAAACCATTTTCAATATCCCTATCATTATTCAGTTAGATTTGAGTAGGATATTTCAAAAAATGTTTTCTAAAAATTCTATAAAAGCTGCAGAATAATACTTTTATCCCCATAGTTGGCCAATTCTACATCCTTGGCCCTGATCCCATAAATGTTAACTTTTACTTTATTCAAATAATTATACTGTATATACTTAAGCAATGTACAAAGCATGATCTTTTGTGTATTGTGATGTTGATACCATGTTATAAGACTATTGCGTCATGTAGGCTTGTAATGTAAAGAATTTTGACAGTAATGTATACAAACTTAGTTATTACCTCGGTTATGTCACACACAGGTGTGACACGATTTTCCAAAATAACGAGACCACTGTGCGATTTAAAAAGCCCAAATATAACGTACTACAATTACTCTTCTTCAAACTGAATATGACATGTTAGTTCGGTCATTCCATTAAATTAAAGCAAAGATATAAATTCTAACATGCAAAGTACTGCAATGTAGGTATTGATGCATGGAAATATTGAGCCGACCTAAACTAGCAGTTTGTTAATTTTGACTGTAAAAATATTTAATTATAAGAACCCGTATATTGGTTTTCATTATATTAAATTAAATAAAAGATCATTTGTTTAAAGCCATATCTTCAAGATTGAATTATTACTGCTAAATTCATAAGAAAAAAGGATAAGGATGATTTTTTTTCTTGACTTCCTTTAATAAAAACAAGGATAAAAAAAATTTATTCTAGGTCCTGTGCCTTCAGTTGTACCCTATTTGTGGAAAAAAAAGATTTCATGCTTTTTCGTACCAAAATCTTGATGCAAAGAAATTGGTTTACTAGTCTTAGGTTTGTAAATAACGTTTTTAATGCAACCAACTTAGACTTAAATTGCCGTACGTAAATCAAGACAGATCATTTTTCACGAAAAAGAACATCTTGTTGAATACTAAATAATGTTCCACAATAACATGTAACAGATTGTTTTTTGTCCAACAAATATTATTCATTTTCTAAAACGTAACTTTTTTCAAATTAATGGGAAAAAATACATAATTATTGAGTAACAAAATTCTAACTTACCTAAATCCTCATCATCTTCTTTGTTTTGTTCTGAAAAGCAAACAAAAAAGTTTTTATATTCAAGGACGGCTGTCTGAACATCAAAATACTGCAAATTCCTAATTAAACGCGAGGAATTTATTGTTATGTAATTTTCCGAAAAGCATTACTTGCGAAATAGAATTACCGGTACTCGCTTTTGATTTAATGGTGCTGAATGGTCTTAAAAAATGGAACAATCGTTTTCGCGATTTAGTGTTAAAAAGCCATTTTTGCAATAATAAATACTCGAGAAAAAAGGAAACTAAATATGCAGCTATATTTATCAACGCAATCTAACTCATAAGATCCTTCGAACTAAAATTATGACATCAAATAAGCCTTAGTCTTCTTTAAACTTTCAAGATTGCAAATAAGAAACGCACAGGTAAAAAAGATGTATGTTTCTTAAACTGAGAACGATTTTTTCCAAATTACTTTTTTATTTCATTCTTTTATTTTACGTACCTTGCGAATCACCCGCGTGGCGCAGTGGTTAGAGCGTCGCTCTAGAGTCGCCAAGTAAGGAGTCAATCCTTACGTCGCGGGTTCGAATCCCACTGTGGGACGTCGAGCCCTCAGAAGAGACCCTATAAAACGAGGTTCCGTGTCGCAGTAGGTGCTGGCAAGAAAAAGATCCTTCCCTGTCCTAAGTGCCGAGTAAAGGACAACATTTGCATCTCTCCACCGGCAAGTGGTGGCGTCTCCATATGAGTGAAAAAAATTCGAGAGGGACATTAAACAACATACATGTACAAACAAACAACGTACCTTGCGATGACGTTGGTATTTCATTTGACATTGGAATGGTTAGTTTGTTGGAAAATTGATTATCCATCCTAATAAATTTACGCAGAATAAATTTTCCTTTATCCGTCTCTCTTTCATTGTGACCAGCTGAAGCAAACGATAAAATCTGGCTTAGGAAAATAATCGATATGAAAATGATCCGAGAGTCCATACTGCCCGAGCCGTCTTTATAAAGGAGTCAAGTAATGCCCTAACTGCATTTATGTTCAATGAAATGAACAAATAGTTATATTGTCACTCCGTGTAACCTTGAATTATTTTAAGTAACTCGTCTGTATTATGTAATAAATAAGAAAGAAGCTCACGAGACTTTGAAATCAGAGTGACATCTTAAAGACCCAATTTTTTTTTTACCGTACGGTTGCCTGAGGAGGGGGAGTGGTCGAATTAACAGTGGTGTTATTTACCTGGAGACCCCCAATACCCAAGATGTCAAAAATCTCTTTACACGTAGTAGTACACAGGAAATCTGTGTTTGGTAATCAGGGTCAACATTACGTGTTTTTAGTGAAACTACGCAAAAAAATTTATTTTAATATGAAATTTAATTGCAACCTAAACGCATTCATGGTCATGTTTTGAAGGAAAAAATACAAAGATATATCGCTTTATAAAAGGTGTTCGTTAAATTAAAGAAAAAATCACGAGTACATGTAAATAATGCAAAGCAATAATATTTATTTGTTTCTAATCTTCAATAAAAGAAATCACAATGATTAAAAAAGTCTGAATATTGAAAATAATTAATCCATTTCTCCGGATGAGACCGTATAAACCGAGGCCCCGTGTCACAGCAGGTGTGGCACGACAAAGATCTCGCCCTGCTCAAAGGTCGTAAGTGCCGAGCATAGGCCTAAATTTGCAGCCCTCCATCGGCAATGGTGACGTCTCTTTATCAATGAAATATTTTGGAAAGGGACGTTAAACAGCATATAATCAATCAATCCATTTATCCGTCGTGCATGTGAACATTTACCGCGATATCGGAATATTGTTTTGTTTTTTTTGTTTTTTTTTTTTTTGTTTTTTTGGTTTTGTTTTGTTTTTGTTTTTTTTTTTTAAATTTTCTGGCCAACAATCTTGTCCAAAATATTCAATATTTTCAATTGTTCGTGTGTTACCCTAGTTAACAAAATTTAGTTGTTAGAAAGATTTTTTTTCAAGGTCGATGACTATTAATTAATTATCTTCACCTTTTCATTACGAATATAGACAGACACTAGAGGAAATTCGAGCATTAATTCTAACATAAATTTCCGTACTACATCGTGCAGATTGTAGCCATGCATTGTACAAAATAAAAACACCCTTTGTAAACTAGGCCGTTAAACACCCAATTTTATCAGTGAAAATCTACCTGGTTCAAGATCAATAATTTACCGCCTGTCAATCATTAAAAAAAACAATAGCTTCTGATTTGATTGACAGGGCAGCTACCCGTGCTACCTGATAGTCTGAGTTTCTGTCCTTTGAAAACGATTACCTGGTCACGCGTTAAACACTTTCATGTAGCCGCCTTGTATACACGGGGGTTAAAAAAAGAATCTTGGTAAAACTTTATTTTAAAAACAGTTGAGAGTAGATAATTAAAACATGACTTCATAAAATATTTGCTTTTAATCTCAACGGGCTATATTGTATTTTAGGCGATATGTCGTCCAAGATATCTGCTGTAGAATTTAGACCAGTCCGTGCACAGAAACGCTATTTGCCGATTAAAATTGGAATATGATAAATAAGGATATTTAGCACAAACGTCTAAAAAATTCTTTATCCCATGTTTTATCTGCGCATATATGAATACAATCTATACCATGTTCCGTTGTAAAGTTCTGAAATGTCAGAAACAGCTGTAGGAGTTTCGAATTGTAACTTTTAGTTCGAATTTCCTAACATCTGCAGTCAATACCCAATATTCGAAATTAAAAAGTGAATTTATACAGCCAAAGATCAATTCTTAAAAGAAATCTTGCAAACAATAAAAAAAATTTAAACACACGAACACCCGGAAATGGTGAATATTTTTTTGTTTTTATTCCTATCGCGGTACGGTACATTGTATATGTTCACACGAAGGATAGGCCTATCTATAAATGGAATTTTTTTTTTTGTTTTGATATTTATACAAGTTTTTTTTTGTTTGTAGTTTTATTGTGTTCTTTTTGTTTGTCATTTTTTTAAAATATAAAAACGATATTTCTTTATAATTTTTTTCTTCATCAGATATCGCTGGATGTATTTATATATAAATTTTATATTGAAATATTTCAATTATTTCAAGTGTGTTCACTCAAATTTAGACTGGAATGTTGACCCTGATCAAAACTTCCTGTGTAATGGAACGTGTATATAGATTTTTTTTATTGGGGTCGATGAATAACACCACTGTTAATTAACCACTCCCCCTCCTCAGGTAACCTTTTCTTTAATTAGTGCTGAATATTTCTTATAGACGAATCCCATTTCATAAAAAAATAATTTTAATCGTCGGACTTCCAATTACTGCAAATAGAGCCGGTTTCTGTGGACGGTCTTTTTTTTCTACAGGTATCGTGAACGATATAACACTTTCGAGTAAAACGGCAGTGAAGATAGAAAAGAAATATTTTATGAAATTAATGTTTTAATAATTTACTTTAAATTATTTTTTGAAATAAAATTCAAACATATTGGAGTTCTCTAACCCGCGTGTATACAAGGCGGGTACATGAAAGAGTTTGGCGTGAGGTAAACATGTAAATTCGGATTTTCATGTAGCACAGGTGGCTGATCTGTCAATCAGATCATTTCTTCACAAAAAATAATTTTCACATTTTATAAACTAGGTTTATCGACTTAAACAAGTTTACAAACAAATATAGTTAACGATTTCTTAAGTATAGTTAACGATTCGTTTTTTTTCATCTGTAAAACTATATTTAACGGTTGTTTACTCTAGTTTACGATGATAACACTTTCTGTCTGTAATAAGCGTTAACAATAGATTTTGTTATAAAATTATTCACGTTTTAATAATTTACAATTAAACTATATTTTGAGTTGTTAATAAAAGTTTCACAAATCGTGAAACTATATTTATCAGATCGTTAACTATAGTTAACGGTTTGTTAACTATAGTTTACAAATCGTGAAACTATATTTATCAGATAATCTATGTTTTGCAATCGCAAATGATTGTTTTCAGTGTTAAGCGGTTGTGAAACATAGATTATCGCGTTAACTATGGTTTACGGATATAAAATATAGATTAACGTTGTTAACTATAGTTTACAGTCCGTGAACTGTAGTTTACAACCGATAAACCTAGTTTATCGACTGTGAAACTATGTTTAGCTCATTTTTGTGAATTTGGCTTGCCATAGCTATTGCTTATTTAATGATTGACAGGCGGTAAGTTAGTAAATTATTGATCTTGAATCGGGGAGATTTTGGGGGCGTTAACATAAAATTGGGTGTTTAACACAAGGCATTTTTTTTGGTTTTACATTATCTGTCTTTCTGTACATTCTTTATCTACTTCCTTGAAAATCAAGATGTCTTAATTTGTGAAACACTGATGCCCCCGTATGGCAGCTTAGAGACGCATTTCTCAAATACCAGTCAAACTCAAAAGGTCATGGTCAAAATTGTTGGCAACCAAATGAAAATATAGTAACAAGAAATACACCTGTGAAATATGAAAGCCTTAGTTCTAACTGTTCAAAAGATATGATAAATGTTACAATTTTTAAAAAGTGGGCCAAACTCTAAGGTCAACGTCAAAAGGTAAAAATTACATAAACAGCATATTTTTACTAACAACACATGTATAGAAATTGAATTATTAGTACGAAGTCGAACGGGGATTACATTGCAAAGATTTAAGGTTAATAATACATTCAACATTCAATTGAGGACAAGCAAAAACAACAACGCTTACAAGCCAATGTCTGATCATATAAATTGTCAACTTTTCATTTATATTCTAGTTTCATTTTCTTTCAAATCTATGCTATGTTTTATCTGAAATAATGTTAAAGCTTTTAACTATGTTAGGTTAATTCATAAGTAGGCGAATGTCATGTTGTTACCATGTAATTCATTAGTGGTGATATCAGCAACAACTTTTACTTTTTCTGCCTGTCTTATATATTACTCCGAACAATTAATCTAATTAGCATCCAATTTCCGTCTCTATTTCGACCTTGGTACGTTGTCAAGTGCATAATAAACTTTCCAAATTTTGTAGAAAAATGTGTCTGCAAGTTAAAGAAACCAGGCGTAATTGCTATTATAAAATTTTGCGGTTTTGTATACTTTCTGCTTTAGCAATACATTGCAGATTAATTATATTTATTTGTTCTTATATAATAATTTTCTGATCCCTTTTATTTGACAAATTCTGTTGTTTTTTATAAACCTAAGATATCCAGGTAACTTAACAAAAATTTCAAGGCAACATTAAGAACTTTTTTTCCAAAAATCAACGCACGCCTCCTAAGAACGTACATGTACAATCATTTCTCTCGAGAAAAAAAAATCATGAGTCTTTTAATCCTTTTCGATTGCATCTTTAAAATAATTAAACTCGAAAGTTTTCATCTTTTCATTAATCTTCTAAAAAGTACATTTCTGAAAATCAATCTGATCCTTCAAACAATTACAACCGTTCACGGTAGCTCAGTCGGTAGAGCGCTCGCTCCGTGATCGGGAGGTCGTGAGTTCGTATCTCGGCCGCGACTGACCTAGTCGTTAAAATGGGTAGCAACTGTTCTTTCGCCATGCGCTCGGCACTTTGAAGTGAAAGTTGCGGGTCCTTCGGATGAGACCTTAAAAACCGAGGCCCCGTGTCAGCGGCAGGCGTTGGCACGATAAAGTTCCCTCACTGCTCAATGGCCCTGAGTGCCGAGTAAAGGTCAAAATTTGAAGCCCTTCACTGGCATACGGTGACGTCTCCATATGAGTGAAAAATTCTCGAGAGGGACGTTAAACAATACACAATCAATCAATCAAACAAACAATTACAGCGCAGTCGGTCCAAAAAGATGCTTCTTTTTCTCATTGACAATATTTGCTTGCTTTGGTCTTCTGATTGATATTCAGATAGATCAAAGATGTTTTTACAACTCAAAAAATATATTCATTTATAACTCCACAAAGAATCTTTCTTCCTATGTAACTATACATGTAGTCCATAAACGCAAACGTACGAATAAAATGTGTGTTAAACAGAAAGACTAGCATGTCCATCATCAACTTTGGTTATTTATGTAATAATATTCTACAATCACCTGTATTAAACATCATGTCTTCTAACTGATTTAGTGTGCAAAATGATATTCTCTGAGAACGATCCTTTTTTTTACAACCTATTGACAAATGAGTAAGTTATAAGGCAATCTCGTCATTGATCAACATTTTGCAAATTCTGTTTCCGTTAAAGGGGCATAGACACAGTTTCAATTGAATTAAAAAAAAAAATTTTAACGTTTACAATTCCTACCTAAGGCATTATCTATTGATAAGCAAAAATTTGAACATCATTTGTGGATTAACAAACGAGAAACAGAACTTCAACTTCTTCATAATGTAAACAAGGCCCGTGCATTGTTTTGTTTACAAATAGAAACCATCATATTTATGACAAAATCAGATTCAGCAAATCAAAAGAAACTGTCGAATTGTATTTAAAAGTAACTTTTTATTGAAATTATCTACTTTGAACGAATATGTATTAGTATATTAATCTATGTAAACAAAAACACGACACGGACCTTGTTTACATTACAAAGGTTTGGTTCTCTAAATATGTCTTGTATTTCGACAACTGATTTCAAATTTTGATGATCATTAAAAAGACCCTAGTAAAATACTTGTAAAAATGGAAAAATAAATTTTGAAATTTTATCTGAAACTGTGTCCATGCCCCTTTAAATGTGTCTTTGCAGATAAAGTTTAAAATTCGCTATATGTTGACTGACTGTTGCATGCTATTTGTTAGACCATTGCTTTTGCTGCATGACAATTTGTAATGTAAATTTTGACTACGATTACTCCATCTACATATAAATACTTTGGGTTCAAGAGAGGTGTTGCAGGTCGACAGGTAATGCTTGCTGCTCCCAGGCACCTATTCCTCCTTGACCCCCTCTCTAGTGTTGTCTGGAGTCCACTTTTTAACACTGCTCGTACTGTGTACATTTTATAGATTAATTACTGTTAATTATCTTAACCTTTTTTTACATTCCATCCCATGAACACTTTATAAAATATATTTTTTTCTTTATTTCGTCCATCGGAAAGCATTACAAATACGTGGTATTTTGTGCTATTTAAAACGAAAAAAAAATGTCCATTAGCTGTGTAAAGAACGTGGATCAACGTTTCTTAAATTAATGCACTTTAAAACTTGATAAACCACTTGCACAATTACAAATGATATAATGTTGAAATATGTCAAGTAAAATTAAACAAGCATATATCAACCTCAAGCTTTTGTGCATTTAAAAAATGATATTCAGATAGAAAAGACAATTCGCACCAACATACAAGAATTACTTATATTGTTGATTCATTGTATCGTGGTCATTGGGAGGAATTCACCTAAAACAGAAAACTGTATAAATGATATTAAAAACGTCAAAAAAATCTAAGAAAAATCACCGACAATACAAATCTGTCAACAGTTCATAAAACAAGGATCCCAGATAAAAAAAAAAAATTTTTATAAATACAAATTATAGGCAATACACATAATGGTTTTGCAAATACAAAAGGTCTTAATAGACACCATATCATTTACGAGATGCATATTATACACCAGCTTGTTGAAATCTCTGTTATATTAACCTATCTGTCAGTAGTCTGTCTAGGTTTTAAATAACATGATAGTATTCATGCCTTCGAGTATCAAATAAGTAGGGGGACGTAATTCATCCTCATATACATGTTATAGCAGAATATCATTCCATGAATAAGAAAAGAATGCAATGGAGGGAGCTTCTTCTCTTTTGTCATTTTGCTTTCATTCTATTAAGTAAGTCGTTATCGTATGGCGTAAAACATCCAAATAGGAAACAGATAATAAATTCAGGAAAATAGTACAAGTAGAAACTTTATTATATTAAGATCTTTTTTTCTCGTTTGTCATTAAATATATCAATATATTAACTTTTGACTGACGGAAAATCTCGTACAAGGTTGAAAACAAAAAAATCTCTCTTTAGGTTTCAAGGAAGAACACGGATAGCTCAAAAAATAATATAAATTCCAAATATACACAGCTTTCTTTATTTTGTTCATGTAAAGAAAACTTTTAAAAGATTAATGTTCTGCTTTGTCATCGCTTGATGACTTTATAGATTTAAGAATATTTCTTAAGGTTATGAATCGTGTGTTATAAATCTATATTATTTTTTTTTCGGACTCTATTTTGAAGTATCTACCATCATTCTTTTTTTCAAAATCTATACATCTATAAATCTATACACTGGTTTTTGGTCTCCATCTGGTAGCAACTGCGATATGATCTGAAAAAGAAGTAGTGATTTTTTTTTAGGTTGAATAATACAGTGAACGTGAAGTAAGATGTCAGAGTTATTCAACCTGTTCAAATAAAATAACCACACATGGTAGCAACATCGGGATTTATGTTTTTGCGTTTCAATACAAAGAAGATAAAAGTAAATTGAGAAGTGGTATTATCTTGCATTAATTGTTCAACCATTGCGAGGAGTTAAATTGTGCAATTAGAATAATTTTATTCTCACCATATATCGACATATATACAGTGCTATATTGATGTGTTAATTTGACGTTTTGATAGAAACTGACAGTTTTATGTTTTCAGCCTTACACCTGCAAAGGCCTGCATCAATATCTCTTAAACTAAAGTATTTTTTCAATATCATATATGGATTTTTAAAACAAAAATATGGAGTGAAACATATGGAGATAACGAAAAATTTTTAACCTCAAAAGTCCAATAAACAATACAAAGAAGGAGCCGAGCAAATAAGGAACTCCAAACATCAGGGGCCATGGAGGAGTAAGCATCCCCTGCCAACCTGTCACACGCACCGTGTGCTCCTTAAATTGTCATGATCGGGAAATAACGGAAAAGTCGGTCGTCAATTCAGCATGTAAATAATGGACTAACAAATTTCTATGAAAAACGTCAATCAGCATTTGACGCAATAATAAATTGTATTTGTTGACAAGGTCATTGTATCGACCAAAGAACTTACAAAATTGTGTTTTTAAACGAGACGGCTGATATTCTTGTTTTACCAAATTGTTTGTCAATGGATTACCTCGTTTTAGAAATTGTTCATACGTAGAACATACTCTCGCGTAATGAATCAACTGAGAGATATAAACGCTGTATGCAGGTGATAAAAGGGTATATTGCTACATAAGTAAGGCAAGTTGACGATTTAAAAGTGGAAGTTATTACATTTATCATAGAGCTTGCAGAGCTTGCATATAAAATTTATTGTTATAGATTGCAAAATCACAAAGTATATACTTTCTAAAATAGCTACATTGTTTAAAGAACATATTCGGCATTTTTCAAACCAGGATAAATTTCTTCCTTAAAACCTTTAAGCTCTCTCTCTCTCTAACCTTTGAAGAAATTTTCCATTTCTGTATTAAAGTCAGTTCTATTTTCAAGAAAAAATTAAAATGCAATATATGTATCCTTAAATTTAAAACCATACCTGCCACATAGCAGTAACCAGCCTTCTTCAGTAGTACAATCAGCATTTGGGGCCCTTGGTGAGATTGATTTCGACTTCTCCACATGTTTAGCATTCTCTCGCATTTCTGAAATTCGTTGGATTCCGTGGCATCTATTTCTACAATATCTTCCTCCCTCAACTGAAGGAAGGAACCAACGTGTTTCCATGACTTGATCACAGCATGGCTTTTGCTGGCAAGATGTATGGCCTTGTCTAGTCGTCTCTCTGTGAGTTTAGCATTAATATTTACAAAATGATAAATTTCCAGAAATAATGTAAATAAGAGTTTATTTCATAAAATAAATAATACATTTATATTATGTTTTAGGTGTCGTGTTTTTACTGTTCTTAGGAAAAATAAAATAAAATACAATTTAGTATAAATTATTAATTTAAAGAATTGTTGTATTTACCGTTTATAGTTTTGTAATAGTCACGCTTGAATGACCTATCCATGTCACTGATTTCTTTGGCGAGATCAATCCGCCCACTCTTCTTCAAAGCGGACGCCAGATTCACAGCCTTGAAATGCAATGTCATAATCAATAAAAGACAAATTAAGAAAGACAATTTATTGATATAATCAAATATATCTTTTTGATCAATGACTCCTTAAAATTTATCTTCATTACAGGTGTTCAGGGGTTAAAATTATGATTTTTATCTTTTTGTATTCAATTGACACTTGCTGTAAAAAAATCAATTTCCTGTGTACAAATTACAACTCCAACATTTGGAAAAAAAATTGTGTGACGTATTGATGGAGAAAAAGGATAACTTCATTATATAAATAGGGATCTGACCTACAGGACCGGGCTTGGTTTTTTCTCTACAAAAAGCTTGTCGATTTCCGTTCCGATTAATGACACTAGGCTGAATACATATAAAAATTTGTTTTTCCTGAATCTTTATTTCAGTGAGTAGAGGTATGAGGAACCCTTTCATTGATTTTCTGAATTTGTTATCTCCAAATGTAATAATTAATATTTGTCTTTACGTCTCATTGTGCATAAAGGTAATGTCTACTGTCTCTGAAATTCTATTCTTTATGTCTAGGCTATTTATCCGTGGATATAATAAAAAAAAAATTGTCATCAATGTGTGCAAATTATATACGTCTAAATGAAATCCAAGGGAGTGCATTTACTGAAATATGTAGCCAAAATCAATGTGATTAAATTCTAAGGAATATATACAATTGAAATTCATCGCAGCTCAATGCTGCCAAGAATACCTGTATTGAGTAACACATAGTGAGTTATTCTTGTCCTCGGAGAAAGTGTGCTTATACTGAGGTTCGTTCCACCTGACTGACAACTGTACACTGGATTGTTACGATTTGATATCTCTTTAATGTTTCTTATATCAAGAATGGGCGTGCATAAAGGGATAGATAATTGAAGGAAAATTACACAAGTCTATAAAAAAAATTAAAATAGTCTTTGAAAAGGCGAAATTTAAAATTTTAAAAGTGTTGTACCTGGTGGATTCGAACCCCCGACTTTAAAAAGAGAGTAAACAAGGTGTAAAAGTCAGAGCATATATCAGCTGAGCTAAAATGGTGTTTCGATCAACTTTGGAGGTTTACTGTAAAGTTGTAAGTAATAAATTTTAGGTAAAAAATACAAATTTGAAAAATTTAGACATATATACGGTAGAAAACAACAAATAAAGATTGTTTTTTGAATGTCACTTTTTCCGGGAAATTGTTCTCTCCGATAGGTCAATTCTTTTGTTAAAGTGAATACATCCTTTCTTATTGTCAGTTTGTATAAATCCAATTCATGTCAGATTAATCATTGCAACTGTAATCAAAGACCTTTTTAACGGTATATTACAGGTGAATCCAATAATCTTTTTTGGAAATACCATTAGTAATCATTGTGATCCACTATAAGCAGACTTACTTTTGTATTGATATAAACCAGAAATTACTTTTAAAAACCTTCTACATGTAAAGAACGAATCTATGATTGTCCTCTTCAATGAGACAAAATGATTTACATTTATAGTTCATCAATATCATAATAAGACACAGCCACTCAGTTAATTGAAAGGTAACCCAACGTTCCATGAAAAGTGACTGAGAGGTAATTAAAAGCCATCTTTCCGAACCTTTCAATAACCACTCAGTTGACTGGATGGTGTAGTTTCATTCTTTGAATTAACTGTATTTAATTTACATTCCTACTTTAATTAGAATTTTTTTCCTTTGATTTTTAAATTTGTAATTATAGGTACTGATTACAATTTATTTTCATCTATGTTCACATACCTTATCGCTACAGTGGCGGGATCTTTTTAACCAGGCAAGCAATATATCGTACACAAGGCTTTCTAAAGAACATCTCTTATTTTGTTGTGCAATGGACTGTATCCTCACGTGCTCAAGGTGGAGACCTCTGGCTAAGATGTACCATTCTTTACCGATAAGTCTAGCAAGTGAACGGAGAAACTCTATGGTAATTGGGCCTTTAATAGAAAAAAGACATTTTTTTCATTTATTATATGTTTGTTAAAGAGAGAAATAAATACAAGCATTTGCAAAGTTTATTTGGAGCATGCCATTTTGCTTAACCCATGCAGTGGGTTAACTATTAAAGAATAAAAACAACTTGCTTAAATATTTTTATGAATGAAATTGGCCTTTTGCCTAAAAGCTGTCGTATGTAAATGTACATGTTTTCTGATTTATAATTTTACTTTCGCATTTAGGAATGCTTAATTCTAAACGTTCAATTTTACATTTACCTTTGTAAGTTAGACACAGCCTTGCTTTTAATGTTTTTTCACAGCTATACAAGGAACTATCTTTTGGTAATGTAACAGGGATCTCAGTCAACAGTTTCCATTTGACGTACTCCTCATACCCGGATATTGGATCATCTTCGAAGCTGTCGCTTGTGCAAACTGAAACTTGAACAAATCCACAATACTCCCTCAAAGACCGTTGACAATATGGATACACGACCTGGATTTCCCAGTCAGCAACAAACCCATTCATGGCGTAAAATCTAAAAATTCTTTTTCTTTTAGGAATGGTTGTAATGTTGCCACGCAAACCTAAACTGATGACATCACCTTCCTTTGCATGAATAAGGGTCCTTCTGATGTTGTGGTCTTTTTCTAGTCGATTGATCATCCGCGTAGTGACCTTTGTTTTCAGATCACAGGACACTCTGATATGTCTGGGGTCGTCTCGTCTTTGAGCAACGCAAACATAAATCCTATGCTCTTTGAGTGTCTTTATAAGGTTAACAACAACGCTATTTACATCTGGACGTCTTGCTTCTTTTTTCATTTCAACAATTAGGTACCTAAAATAGAATTTTAAAAATGTATATCTTGTGTTGTCATATGAAGAGAATTACATGTGCAAAAATGAGATTTAACAGCACAGTAAATTTAAAAGAATGCCAAACAAAAATTACAGTTATGCAGACGATAAAAGAAGTAGTCTGGCCATACATGCTTTTTTTATTACTCGAAGTCTCCTTTAAAGAAATTTGAAACTGAACTCATGCTCTATAACCAATTCTCTACATATATCTTCAATTACATTAAAAGTCGGTATAAAAAAAGTACCTACATGTTGTGCTTTTCGTGAAGTGTAACTTGGATTTTATCGTCCTTAGTAAGATCTTTCTTTTGAAGAAGCATACTCTTAACACCTAGACACCCGCCTGTCATCCGTACAAGGTAGTTGTCTGAATCGTACCAACATTCTACAGACATAATTAAAATAGGAGATACATAATTCTTAAGCTCTTACATAGCATTGTAAATGATCATATATATAGTCAAATTATATCTTCATTAAAACAAATTTTACTTCACTGACACTTTATTAAACATAGCTTTTAATTTTTATAATTTTTGATTAAATTATTTCAAAAAACACATGAAAATACAAAGTATGTACAAGAAAAAATGTCGCTAACCTAAAAAATGGTTGATCGATTCCCTTGACTTTGCTCTGGAAACAATACGTGAACCTGATAAATATCCCGATTCAGATGTACCGATCCTTGATGTCATCGAAGCCGTCCATGGCCTCGATTTGGGTTTGCTGCAAAGAATGTAAAGCGTCAGAGGTTGAGGAGGATCATTTAGAAGTTCCACAACAACTAGAGCGCTTGACGAGACAAGTAACGATGAATCCTCTATGTCTGGGGTTTTAGAATCATCGATCACAGATCTCTCGATTGGAATAACCTACAGAAAAAAAATGACAAATAATCAACGAGAAGTATGCCGAGAGATAACCGATATAAATCTTATTTGCTAAAAAATCAAATTAATTTTGCAATATAATATGTGCATATTTTGTACCACTAGATCAGCTTCTGTTTCTGTTTTATAGAACCGAGGACAGTATGTTCCTGCAAGAGTCGTTTCTCTGTCCACAGCGGAGGATACTTCGTGCACATTGTGACCAAACACAAAATGCTCTTTAATAGTTGTAGCAACTATGGCAAAGATTCCTAATTGTTTTACCTCAGCCTCCAATATTGGTAAAATCTATTTCAAAAATAAATAAATGATTGAATATTAATACATTTTTGACTTTAAACTCTCTAAATATCTACTATTACAGTGTTTCTTACACAACCATCCTCGTCCTCGTACAAGTATTCAACAGAAGGAATTTCAATCCACTTTCTCTCTGAAGACAGCCATCGCAAGACAGGACGATGAAAATATTTCATTTCAGATTTCATGAATGGAATTCGAACTTTCAATTTTATTTTCTGTAAACCAAACAGATAATCGTTGAATATAAAATAGTTTCATAGTAGATGCAATAATACTGGACTCTTAATTGGAATAGAAATTTAGTCGGTTTCCGACTACATATTCAAATGCCGTTTACCCAAAGGTCGTTGTTGATTGAGGTAGATAGTTGAGTCACGCTGCTGACTAAAAGTTCATACTCTCCAACTAAAGAAGGTACAATAAGTGGATCGATGTTTGAACAGTTCATATCTTTAATCAGGTCAACATTGAACGTGTCATCCGGGTCTGAAATTATTATACAAGACATCTCTTCTTGCTCTGTTGTCATTGTTTTAAACCTTTATAAAATGAGATGATACAAGATTAGAAACTAAAAAATATATATATTTTAAAATAAAATCCTTTCAAATTTCTAAAGCTAATCATCTGATGGTGTCTTGAAAAGAAACCTACTCTTTTTTGAACTGCCTGTTCTCTTGCATGTCACTGATGTTGCACAAAATATCCTTTATAATTTTATTGGCTACATTTGTTGCTTCTTTGCTTTTCTTTTCGTCCGCAACTTTAGGAATGTCTAAATTTATCAAAATTATACTATAAAGAGGAATCAAATTTCAAACAGAATTGTTCAATTTAATGTTTATTTCTTCTGTACATTTTACTTGGAATATTTTCATCTACGTTAGTTCGATATATTTTATGTTTCAAATAATATATTACCTGTGAAACTATCGTTGTCAGAGATATCATCGTCATAATCAAAATAATCATCATCCCTATCTTTCATCGGTGACATCATTAGAGCTGAATCTGAAAAGCTTTCTCTCATCGCTCTGTCGCTATCATCAGCACCTTTTCGATTATTTTCAGCTGGGTAATTTACATCAATGACAAAGTCTAAATTCACTTCGGAAGCAAGATGTCTATAGTCTTCAAAAGAGGATGAAATATTTTGGTCTTTCGTTTCCTGAAGAGATTTTTCCTTCTCTATTGCTTTTTGACCAGCAGCAGTTGATGTGCTTGTCAGTTGACATGAACTTTTTGACTTTTTGTCTACGATATTGGGTTCTGACATGGAAATCTTTTTCACTGAACTATCTCGATTGAACTTTTCTCCAGTTAGATTTGTTTCCGTCAGAGCAGTTGTTCTGTTAATCGTGTCACAATTGGTTAATTGCTCATCTTTATTATATTCATTATTTATTACATTATCTTTCCTATATTTATCGTCTTCTCGTGTTATATGTTTCTCAACATTATCCTTTACACTGCAAATGTTTTTGTCAATCTGTGTAACATTATTTTCAACGTCTACATTCATTCTTGATTCATTTTCATCGTTTGATGATAAACAAGAGCCGTCTTTTCCATGCATCTCTTCTGTCCTATCTAACGATTTGTCATGAGTTGTCATGCTTTTAGTTTTAACCTCAGACTTCTTGGTTTCTTTACATTTAGTGTGACATTTTGACTTGAGATCTTTTCCCTTTCGAGATTCCTCCGAATGAGAAGTTTTTTGATTTTGCTTTCCGTTCGTTTTGTGCGTTTCATTCTTTTTCTCGTGGATCTTTTTGTCAGTTGAATGAGATTTACTTTTCATTTTGATCTGATTTTTTGCTTTTCCATCATGACCTTTGTCAGTTTTTGCCTCCATTGTACTTTTTAAATGTTTTTCAGTGGTAGTGTTTGTTTCTTGAATCTCATCCGTGCTGTCTGTTTTAGTTTCTTCTTCACAGTCTCTCACTAACTCTTCAGCATTATTGCTACAGGCTGAATCCTTTTCAATGAGTTCACTTTTTGAGTTCTCTACATCGTTTTCTGGGGACCTGCTCTCTTCTAAAAGAACTTTTTCCACTTCATTTTTGACTATGTCTTTTTGTTCCTTTTCACACAATTTATTATTTTCTTTCTCGTTACCACTGTTTTCGTCCTTTTGCATATCAAGTTGGGTTTTTGATTCTCTTTCAATATTAGTACAGTTTTCTCTCATCTCTGTTTCTTCATCATCAGCTTTTTCAGACGATTGCCTCATATCTAGATAATCTTCACTTCCTTCGATCATACTTTTCTCATAACTCTCTTCATTGTCATGAGTTCCTTGTGATCTTGTATCACAATTCAAGTCACTCTCAATGTCAGAATTCTCTTTTTCTATATCTGACTTTTCGGAGCCCTTTGATTCCCCTGGACAAACGGTAATGTTCTTCTGACTCTCTTCCTCCTCATTTTCATCAACTGCGTTTTCTGTTACGAGTGGGCTAATGTCTTTTTCTTCCTCTTCAAAAGAATACATGTGTGCGATAGCATCGCGAACTCTCTTGAGTTCCTCATACAGTTCGCACAGCTTTTTCTTCTTCTGTGCCGATATATTTCTTGAATTCATTTTTGTTTGTACTATTTCTCTTTCAATCTCCCCACCGATTCCATCATCCAATTCCATCTCATCAAATTGATCTTTTCCATTTTCATGGGCATTTTTCTCTGACATTATATGTTTAACATTTTTATGTCTATAATGTTGTTTTTCAAATTCACTCCCCTTTGTTTTGTAGCACCCCTCCCTTAGCATATCGCCACTGGTTGGACATATTTCGGTATTATATATAATTCTTTTCTGGTTATAGGAACTTTCCCTCTGTGGGTGATGCTTCTTAGCCTGATCAGAATCATGAATGCTTGAACGACCTGATGCACCCGGTAAATCATTAGTATTTTCACTTGACAATTCTTTAGTTTTTGTGTCTTTGTGAATTTCCTCCCCCTCTTCATGTTTTAATATTTGTTGATTTCCAATTTCCTCTGCGTCTAGTCCGTCGTTCTCATTTGAAAAGTCTACATGGCGATCATTATCTTGTTTTATGTTTACTTCTTTGATGTCAGTTTCATTGTAGTTAAGTTTTAATTCATTTTCATTAGCTTTCGTTCCACAAGACATGCCATTATTTTCCATTGTTTCACATGCAGCAGGGACTGCTGGTGTAGAAGGAGTAGAGATTCTGCTCTCAAGTGGAATAACGGCTTCTTGAGATAAATGATTATGTAATTCAAGAGGTTCTTGTTGAGTAATAGTCTCTAATGATATCTTTTTGAAATCTGAATTTGAAAGAGAAGTTCCGCTAACAGGTGAACCTGTTGCATTTTCAAGTGAAATTATAGTCTCTTTTCCTACAAACTTTACTGAATGGCCCGATGAAGGTCGAGCAGAGCGCTTCAAAATGGAGGAACCCGAGCAGGGTCGCCCTACATTAGAAAGGGAATTCTTTTGGGTTGTGGTGTTTATCTGGGTGGGTGGTTGATTTTGAGGGTCATTTTCTGGCAGTCTTCCTGGATCTTTGGATATTTTCTTCTCAGCGACCGGAATCAAATTTTCATTTGAGTTTACAGATATCAGTTTTCTAACAGTTTTCCTATCCGAAACCACTGCCATTGTGAATCATACACCAGAGATTTCAATACTGAAACGAAATAAATTTTTCGATTAATCAGTGTTATTTGATCTTTTTGATGGGTAATACAAAAAATCTTTCACATCAAATCCATTTCATTAGGTGATTTAAATTCTACACGTAATGTCAATAAGACCATCCAAGTTTTTATTGGTTTCATGGGTTTGGTATATTACATATTCAATTACAAAATAAAGTATCGCCACAGCTGAATTTTGTAATTTATATAGCCCCAATTCATTGTAGCATAGGAATCTCCCTTTAAATAACAAGAGTTACTGCGTTACGTATAAGCACTGTCTGTTTGGAAAGGTTTTATCAATAAGAGCAAAATGTTTAGAGTAAACATCAATAATGTGGAGGACATCCGTTTTATTTTACAGGAGATAATCCAATATAAAGTTAAGGGGTTATGGAGATAGATATGGATTTGAAGACAACAGACATTTAAGGTAAGGCTATCATTGTCTCCATGTTGGCATTCATTCCGTTTAAAACTAAAGTACATTTATATCACCTGGGATTTTCAAAAAGGCTCATATCAGACATTCACTAACTGAATAAGTTTTTTTTTCATCATCAGAGTTTGTCTTATAGATTTTATTATATTCCCCTCAGGCTCTCTCTCTCTCTCTCTCTCTCTCTCTCTCTCTCTCTCTCTCTCTCTCTCTCTCTCTCTCTCTCTCTGCGAAATGAAATTCAAGTGACTTCCAATACTTGGTGTTTTAAAGCTTTTAATAAAATCAAATCAAACATCAATGATCTTGCAGCATCCCCAGCCCTGCATTAGTTTACTAAATATCACAAACAACTGTCATACCTTTAATGCTACGTTTATTGGGTGTAATCTGATCTTATCAATGATAATATCTTAATAGGGTATGTTCTGTCCAGGCGATCTAGAGCATTTAAAAGACAGTCATTTTTGAATTATCAAATATACTAAAGGTTTCATCGAGTACATATATTGCTAGAGTATCATTCCTAATATAATATGCAAATCTGAAGATATCCGTACAGATACTCAGTGTTTCAAAGTATGCCATACAATGCATTAACAAAATCACCAGTTCGAAGCAATGTTCAAATATTATTTAGCATAAAATAACAAAGTTTAGGTGTAGTATACTGTACATATCATCTTGTGTGGTGTTTTTTCTTTGTTTTTACTTTGACATTTCATTTACTTCGAAATGGTGAGTAAAATAGTCACCTCCAGGAAATATTTTAGTAAAAGTTAACAAGAAAAGACTAGCATATATTGACTGTTCAAAAAGTCTGGACATGACTTAGTATAGGATATTATCCCATCACATGCTGACGGAAAAAAGTATAGTGTAAGGTGGACAAAGTGGGGATGCATTACGGAATTATGTACAAATGAAATAAATACTCTGGTTGCTGATACTGTTTTCCTGCATATTTTAAACTGTTTCTTTTCGCCATTTCAATAATTTGACCCATCTGATATACGTTCACATACTTTTGAAACATATATAGAAGGTTTTAGATAAGAGGCAGGATCTTTCTAAGTGTCTTCTTTTTAATTCTTCAAAATACAAACTCCTAAACTGAACAAACATGAACATCTCTTTGTTAAATCACCATTCTGTAAGTGTTTCTGATAGTTTTAACTAAAATGCCCACTTAATCAAAATGGCCATTGTGATTTTATTTGGTCTTAACAGTTTTGATGTTTGAATAAGAGATATCGCTTTGAATTAAATTCTGATCCTATATTTACCTTGCTACTTTATATTTAATCTATCTGAGTTTCTATTTTAAATTCTACAATGCAGGAAATTCTAATTTTTAAAATTGCTCTTACACCGAGTTACGACCTGGAACAATAAATACATTTAAAAGATAATTTGTTTAACGGTTAAAAACGATAAGCTTAGATAGCTGGTACCGGCCTCGACCACTGAACCGATGATTGCCATGCAGTTTTGGGAAGACGTTGTTAGTGAAAGTAATTTAGAGTTTACAAATACACCGTGTCAGAATTGGATAAATAATTTAGTTTGACCGCTGTATATTAAGGTTTTTGCCATGAATAGATAAATACAGCTGATATTTAAAGGTAAGACATTTATGGGCTTTTATTCTAAAAAAGATTCTTGTTTCATTTCAACGAAGGAAAACAAAATGAAAACTTAATTTTGAAATAGTCTTATAGAAAACACAACTTAAAAACCAAACTGTATACTTTTAAGATTACCTTTTATGTTCTGACCACCTTTAAAAAATCTTAAGAAAACGTTTCCATATTTAATAAATTTATTTCTTTAGAAATATATTTTTTAAGTTTAAAATTTTAAATGTAAAGCACTTTTATGAAAGGTAAAGCAAAATTCGGTCATTTTATCCTCAACTTTCCTTTGAGGACCAAGCTTATGATATTTTTTTCACATCTTCACCTTGCATTTTTCTACTGCAGAATATTCACATTTAAAGATTGAGCTCAAAATTGGACATACTTCTATGAACTTCAAAACGGCAGATTTTCTTGTTAGTGCAATAAAAATATCATTAAATTTAAAAGCTTTGAGTTCTTAATGGCGTTGATCTCTCTTCAATTCCCTCACTCTATTTTAAAAAAGTAAATCACGGCTGCTAAGCACGTGGGATTTAAATAAGGAGCTATCTTGCTGAATTCTTTCATAGTGATCAAAGATAAAAGAAACATCGATTGAACATAATTATGTTGCATATTTTATCAACAGATCCATTTTGTCAACAGATCCAGATCAGGTGAAAACGATACCCAAAACGAACTAAGGAATTTATAGGTTGTTTGACTATTTTTTCCCTTAACATGTTCCTTACTGTTCTTCTCGATATTTAAACAAATCATTAGTTTCAGGCCAAATATTTACTAAAAACGAATACTAATTCCATACAGAATGACAGCGATTAGATTTTATCTTTCACTATATATACATTTCACATTATGCCTTGTCCTGACACATTAAAAGAAAATAGATATTCCTATGTTTACAACAAAGCAACCAAAATTATATTAGTTTTTCCAACGTTATGGACAACATGGAAGAATGAACAACTCTAGGAGAGAGATCTTTCTATGCCTACAACAAAGCAACAAGAATTATAAGTTTATTTCTAATTTTATAGACAACATGGAAGAATGAGCAACTCTAGAAGATCCTCTTCCGGTCAGTTTGTCCAGCACCGATTGTACACCATTAACAGGGCGGGGTCCGGGGAGGCATTCTACATCCTCCTGACTCCTGACCACAATGATGTCCTGACCTATCAGATCAAGACCGAGCACTGGAAGGCCACCAAGGACATCAGTCACTTTGGGGTCGCCATCGTCAACAACTTCCTGTACATTATTGGCGGGTTTAACGTGGCCACTGCCAAGCACGTGAAAAGAGTTGTCAGGTAAATAAAACTCCTCTTAATGAATCGCTCATTTACAAAATTTATGTTATTTTTGGCTTGACTATTTAAGGACTGATTTTATGTGCACTTATCTTTCAAGCTTTTTTTTTCATTTTATTAGATTATCGATTGAACCATAAATTTTACTTAAGTGTCAGCAGGTTTTTTTTTTTCTTGTGCTACAATTTAATTCCTGAATGATACCATAACAGCAAACCAATGTTTTATTAATTTTTATACTGTATTTCTTCCAAACGAACTGATCTTGTTTCAGATATAAAAATGTATTTTAGTTGATTTTTCTCAAATTAAAACCAATCAATCATGAAATGATAAAATTATCTTTACCGGTCATATTTCTGCTTCCTTAGTCTATGGAAACTTGATGAGTGGATATTTTAACCATAAATAATCATTTAATCATTCACTATTTAAAAAAAAGTACCTTATTATTTACTTTAAGTAATCACCCTGATGTAATAAAGTTCGATATCTTCCCCCTTTACATCTAATTAAACAAAACATCTGAACGTAGTGTTTTGAACAGTAAAAACTTCTACAGAAATTTCCTGAACTGTACTCACCATTTTATTAGATTTGATCCAGACGACGGGACATGGAAAGACGTTAAACCTCTTCCAGTCGCGCGTGCCAAGTTCGCTACTGCTGTATTGGATGGCAAAATCCTGGTTCTAGGTATCTGAAACTAAATAAAATGCAATCAATGTGTTCATTATTATTATAGCGATAACAAAGTCATAAAGGTTTTAGCCTGGGATGGTATCCGTATGCAGAATGTCATACATTGTTCTATATTTTTTGTTCCAAGTCATTAATTTATGGATTAAGATAAAAACAAGGACACAGTAGGAAAACACGAAAATTGTAAACTGGAAAAATTAGTTGTACGATAAACTGTGTTGGAAGCACCATCCTTCCCTGGGGAAAGCTTATGGGCTTATGTTTTGTCATTCCCAAAGGATTATAGATTTTCACAAAATGTTGAGTATTCTGTAAAATATTGCTTCGACACAATGTCTATATGCTCTCGGGTGTAATTGGGCTCTTACATCGTTTTTGATTGAGTAGATGATAAAGCTTTGTCAATGTTACAACAGGAATTCACAGTGTTGTTCTTTTTTATTATTTTACGGAACTGCTCATTTCTACATCATGTTAGTTGAATGAATAAATAAAAAGGCGACATCATACATCTTAAAAATACCAAACGTACATTTCAATATTAAACCTGCCACTAAATTTCTATATGTTTAATAATAGTTATATAGTTCTAATACATTTAACTTTAAATATATCGTATTTTATTGACAATAATTATATTATGTAGGTGGGGAGGAGAGCAACGGCAAAGTTCTGTCTTCCTGTGAAATGTATGACCCGGAAGTGAACGAATGGACAGAGGCACCACCGCTTGTCTCACCAAGAGCGAACCACGCATGCGTGGTGCACCACAACGAAATATATTGCGCAGGCGGTTACTATGGAAACAAGAGTCACAGAAATATCTGGTAAGGTTACATCACCTTTCATAGCATGACATGAGATTGAATTCTAAGTTCTCAATTGTAATTGGTGAAGGGAATCAAATTAAGATTTATACTAAGCACTCAGGGCGATTCAAAAGTGAGGATTCTTTGTCGTACCAACGCCAACAGTGGACAGCACACCTCGGTTTTAAGGATACCATTTAAAAGACTCGTGACTTTCACTCCTAATTCCGGGTTCTTGGCGAGAAACAGTCACTACTAGATGCGCTTAAGGTTTGGAAAGGTGCGACAAACAAGAATCGAACCCGAACACGAAGCGAACACCTCGCCATAGGTTTGCCATGCCCCGTTTCTTAAATTTGTATTGTTTTAATCCACTCATGTGTACAAATTTAAATGTACATGTAACATGTAGTTATTTTTAGATCGGGTGAGCTCAACAGTCCAAAACAACGAAAAAGCGAATGTTTGAGAAACTGACATTACTAGTAGTTCATTATGAATGCAACTTGCAACCTTGCCGAGGTTGTGAAATCAATGTCTGAAAGAATAATACTGCGTAAAATGACTTTCTAATCGTGAAATTCAATAATAAATTAATTTTCATTGTGCAATAAACTGGAGGAGTTTTTCGTAATCTTTATTCATGAAGTTACAGGTCAGTGTATTCAACTTGCACGAGTAATTGAAACCAATTGAACAGAGGCTTCACTCATTTCAATATTCGATTTTTCATTCGACACTCCATATGAAAGCAAAAATCGGTGAAGTAAATAAAATTCAGAATGATGTGCAACATTAAAATTTTAAATTATTTCTTTTTTTCGAAATAAAAAAAATTATTATAAAATTAAAGTTCCGTTTCTGTATGCACTAAAAATCTAAAACAAGTTATTTTAAATGAACAAGTGTTTTCGATTTTAATTAATTGACCATCTGTTTTCTGAATAATTGATAAACACGTGATTAGTACTTCTTTCAATATTCTTTTTAATGTATTTACTTGATAAACAATCTACATAAAACTTTTAAGAATACTCTGAATTGCTTTCAGATATTTTTTCATTTGAATTTTGTTTTGAAAAAATCAGAAATATTGTGAAGGACAGCGTATATTAAAATATTCCCTTCATATTCTTTTAACTGCCGTTGGAAAAACGTATTTGGAGTAACTCCAGTTTCTTAGTTTCTTTCAGTCTTTAAACCTATCACTGTTTGACACCTTTGTCATTTACATGTATTATTTTCTAATGCGCAATTATTTTGAAATGTATGTATAATTATATGATTTTATATTAGTTCCCCCAAAAAAGACGTGAATATTGTACTTACCTTAGAAAAAAAAATTTCCAATTTCCATTTTAAAAAATCAGTAATGACGTTCGACTGTCTTCTTTAGGTTGACTTCGTGTATGGGAAAAAATGAAAATTTCGTTAGATTCAGAAAAAAGATGACTCTTTGTGGTGTATCGATCTGGACAGTTCCGCTTGTGCTTTTAATTTAAGAGATCTCCAGTATCAGTTAGCAAGTTCAACAAGCGTCAGAATTAGTTCAGTTAGCTATTAACTTAGCCTGACACGGCACGATATATTATCCTAGAACTTACGAATAAATTACAGAATCATGAATAATTTAGCAAAGTAACATGGGTACAAAAAGACCCAGAAGCTTAAGAAGTGTTTTTATTAATTTGTTGCTACTTGAAGTAGATGTTTATGAGGAAAACAATAGGCTGTGAATGTTGACAGGCCTGGGCATCAGTTGCCATACAAGGTGTTGGAATCTAGCCTAGATTCCATTAGCTTTGGACGTTTATGTTCTTTCTGAAGAACATTTAATCATTCATTCCTGATGCTATCTGTCAAGTTTATGATGGAAAACAATAATGAAATAGTTGCAATCAATGGGATTCAAATGAAGTCACATTCAATTCGAAAAGCAAATCTAACTTTTCATCTTTCATAAAAGATGTCACTATCCTATATAGGTACGCGGCCTTTTTAACGCAATATAGCATAAATTCTAAATATGACGTTCGATTCTAGATGTCGTTGAATACATGTATTGAAAGAAAATTGATATAATATTTCCATTGCATCACTCAAAGAAAGCATTAAAACGAACCACTTTGCATTAGCAAAATCAGTAACTCTTTTTTTTCTTTTTTCAAAGAAAAAGACCGTTTCAAATTTCACAGTCATTTATTTTAATTGCTTAAGGACCTACGAGGGCAGACGTTGGGAAGATCTGGGAAGACCTTACCCACATCAACTTCCGGAAAGTCTAGATAGGTTCGCCATGACAACAGTCGGCAGACATTTATATTTTATTGGAGGTAAGAAGGTTATAAAATGAAAATTAAAATTACTGCAGTGCATGGTTGGAACAGTTAACCCTACATTAACAAACAAAAAAGACATGATCATACACTGTAAGGGAGGGATATGTCTGTATGTAGATTATAATCAGGGGAAAAGGTTTAAAAGATTGTATACATGGTATATTTTAGTGATGAAGAGCTCACTGCTTAATAATTCCATAAAGGTGTCTAACCAGTCTACATGTACATTTCACGGATTATAATAAAAATTTTGTAAATTCGTTTGGTGGGGTATTTTAATTCAATAACACCTTTAAAATGCTATAAAGATTATAAATATTGGACTGTTCATTTATTCGATATATAACACATACATTGAATAGCTTTAGTATTCAAAAGAAATACTGTAAACGTATTACATTTAGCGGTGTATTCTATTTAACGATTTTGGCGGAATGCAGAGTCCGCTAATTCAAGTACATCGCTAAATGTCTTGTATATTAACTTTTATAACTAGCCAATTCAGACAGCGCTAATCAAATCTACGCTAACTGTTTGAAAATTGAATTACCGCCAAATATCGTACACGCCAAATGTAATAAACTTACAGTAGACAAAATAATAATGGGAAGTAAATTTCAATATTGTTGTCCTAATAACTAGTAATGGAAATACCACATATAATGTAGTGTTTAAATATTTGCAGGTGTAATGTGTTCCATGGATAATCAAGAAAAGAAATTAAAATTTGTAACACACCGTCGTATTTTTTCCTACACGACCAGCGTGTCAGCCATGTCTCGACCGGAAGTGGTGGATGAGGAGGAGGAAGACCCAGATGACGAGAAACCCGTTCTTGTGTCTGAGTTTATTACCCCCTGGGACCTAGCTTTACCCAATATGTCATTCGGTCGTCATAGTCATGGTGTCGCTGCTGTCGGTATGCCTTTTTAAAGTGGCAGTTTTCATCAACTTTTAAAAATCTTAACTTCTAATATCACTCATTTTATTTACGGAAAAAAATCTTTAAAGAAGCTGACCCATTCTGAGTGTTCCTTTTTCTTTGTTCAGGGACTCGTATTTTTGTCATGGGGGGATCATTGCTGGAAACAGGTCAACAAGTTCGTATAGTGGAAGTGTTCGATACAGAGAAAGGAGAGTGGGAGGAAGATTTCCGGTTCCGGAAAGGTCGGTCCATTTTACTCGTCCGCTCATTTCATTACTAGTATTGTTTATCAAAAAAAGGTTTTGCATGGTATATCAAACTACATGAGTCAAAATTTTGAAAATTTCACAATTCTTAAGTGCTTATTTAATATTTTCATTTCCGTAGGGGTTACCTCTTTCTTTGATGCATTTTTGGTTAATTTTACCTCCATTTAATGATTCTAGAACAAGAGCAAAAAGGAATTGCAAATTATTAATTTCTAATTTTTTAAAATTTGGAAACAAGTTAGAGGGAAAAAGAATTCAGATCTTCGAATAGAACTTTACTGTAAACCATATGTAGCATACAAGTCTTTAGATTTGTTTTCCATTTGATATCCTTTTCTTTTAAGTCATATTACTAAAAAAATTATAAAAATTTTCTGCATGGCCCCCGTGGAAATCTAAATGCAGCAATAAAATATTGAATGGATGAAATTAGCGTGAGGACTTGTTTTGAAATTCCACGCAAAAATAATTTCTAAAACAGACACTTATGATTACTGTAGAATTGGTTTCCAGTCTCAACACTACAAGGACACCACACTATACCCTCAAGATTAAAAAATGTAACAACGCACGCATGAACATTTATAATTAGAGAAAATGTTTTATACTGTCATTAGAGGTTAATGAAGTCTTTGATGTTGATATGCTGAGTGGAGTGTTGCGTAAATTGCAATTAATTAAATTCTTTTTAAAATTTAATTCAGTGCAAGAACTAAGTCCTGTAATTCTAATTCATGTACATCAAAATAACAATATACGTTATGCACGTATACATGTAACAGCCAAGGACAGCAAAATTGTTTGTGTATATATATACCGGTATTTCTAACAATTCATGCACATTAAGGCACACTGTAAAAAGAAATAACTAGTTAATGTCACGAAGAAAACTAGTAGATTCACTGTCCATACAATCACTACCTTAATAGTAGTTTTACCAGATATTGGTATATTTACTAGATAAGATTAGTAAATTTAGAATTGATGAGTAACTTTCACTAGGTATCTAAGTATCTATACGACCCCCGCTCCACAACTCACTATCTTAACCAGTAAACTGAAAGTTTACTAATCACGACCAACGCTTTATGAAACACACTAGTTAAATTCACTAGGTTTTTCGTTCAGTGCATTTCTTACAAAATTTGACGTTTATCTTAACAAAAGTTTTTTGTACATCTTTATTCAGGCGATGTTTCAAATGTAACTTGTGCAATTTTGGAAGTTCCTTACAAGCAAGAAGAAACTCGAGTGAACGAACGACTAAAATGGATACTGTGGTAGATGATCATTAAGAACAAAGGGAAGCCACTTTCAGGATATTCACACACTCCATGTCAGAGAAAGGATGCGCTGAAGCAGTTATTCCTACATATCATATATGTCTATGTTCTGGTCAAATTATTGAATTTTTATATATACACATAAAATTGTTATCTTTTTTATTGTTAAGTGATCTCTGTATTAATTAAATAAACATGTTAAAAAAAAGGATTTTTGTACTCTTTCTCAGAAGAATCTAGTTACTAGTTTACTGTGCCGTGTAAAAGTCGCGCTTCTTTCTTTCTTCTTTCCAACGAATAGCAATAACCAAAGTTTTTAAAAGTTGGACCCAGTTCAATGTAAAACTAATCAAATATTTTCCTTAACAAGGGGTTCATGTACCATAACGCTCACCTGAGTCACTATAGTTATGCAGCTTGTTTAACTTATTTATCCCACTTTATAAAAATATGTAAATTGTTGCCTTCTTCTACCACCAGGGGTTATGGATAAAACTTAAATTGAAGCAACACTACCCGAGAATGCTTCAATATGAATAAATATGACCAATCATAGCTTTGTCTTTCTTCGTTAAACACACAGTACTTATCATTTAATTTTCTAAAGGTTGGGTTAAAATCTAAACATGTACATGTATGCATGCTTAAAATCAAAATTCATGATATTTTAACTTAGTCTCCATCTTTCTAAAAGTACAATTGCGGTTACAGTAAGGGTCAACAATACTTAATGTTCAGGTACCTAGCATCACAGGAGTCTGAAGTTTAAATCGTAAAAAAAAAAAAATAAATAAAATAAAAAAAAATTCCGGAAAAAATTTTTCCTACCCTTAACTAAAAAAAACCCCAGGATGGCAACGTGTTTTGGGGGAACCCACCTAAACAAATAGATCTGGGCTTGGTCGGAAAAATCTCGCAACAAATTCAGTATCCGGAGTGTTTGCGCTATTTATTCAAGTTAAGAAATCAAATCTACTTGACGACTACGGGCTGTTCATGGCCTTTTTTCCAGTTTGACAGCTCATCCTGGACTCCATGCCACTAAACCGGAAATGAACTTCGAGGTGAATATATGACGTAATTGAAGAAAAGAACCCAAAAAATGCATGTAAAACTTCATGTACAATTTTATGTTACCATACGTGATCAATAAAAAGATATATTTTTCAAACAAAATAATGCTTTATAAGGGCGCTTAGTCTAACTGTTTGGCTCTTTGTCGACATGGCTTTTCAGTGATTTAAATTTGGCGCTTGTATAAACTGAATTATCTGTCCCTGGTACACATCGTCGTAAAAGTAATAAAAAGAATAAATAACTTTTTAAAGTTCTCTTAAATATATTTAAAATAACTGAATAAAATTACGTTGAACAATTATTTATTTTATTTCATTTGAACAAGTTTTTATAAACGTCAAATATACACTGCGAGATTCTCTTCCGGTTTAGTGGCATGGAGTCCAGGATGAGCTGTCAAAGTGGAAAAAGGGCTAGGAACGGCCCGTAGTCGTCAAGCAGATTTGATTTCTTAACTTGAATAAATAGCACAAACACTCCGGATACTGAATTAGTTGCGAGATTTTTCCGACCAAGCCCAGATCTATTTGTTTAGGTGGGTCCCCCCAAAACACGTTGCCATCCTGGGGGTTTTTTAGTTAAGGGTAGGAAAATTTTTTTCCGGATTTTTTTTTTTTTTTTTTTTTGACGATAAAAACTTCAGACTCCTGTGCTAGCATACACTGTAAACTTGTAAAGGGGCGCCTACCTTTCTTCCCAAACATCATTTTTTAAAAAGAAAATGTTCATTCAAAGGTCGGTTTGACCTCGCTTTATAAAGTGCAGTATAGTGGTATATAGTTAAATAACGGTTATGAATAAAATTTGATATTGAAAGCCTTACGCAAAACACCCTTCGAAACAGGAGTTTTGAGTTTCGAGTAATAATCCAATATTCCGACTTTTATTACCTTTTTTCATGTTGTCTATCAGGTAAGTTGATTTTTTTCTCTGGCTTCCCACCTTTCAAACTTGATGCTGGGTCTGTTATATTTGAAACCTGTAAGGGTAGTCAGGACCATTGGAAGGTAAATATATGTAACATACATGTCATGCTATAATTTCAAAGCAAAGTATACTGATACTGATATGGTACAGAGTCAAGTCAATAAATCAAAAAATTAAAAAGTAAAATATTTACTAGAACACTAGAAAAATGTTATAATTTCTAACATTATAGAAAATTTACTTTTCAAATAATAAATGAATTAGAATCTATAAATTCTATTATTCTTCTTCTCTTTATACAACTAAATATTAAATTTAATATAGTTCATTTTGTCAATATATTATCTTTTTCATATAAAGATTTTAATACGTTTTATTAGCTCACCTGAGCCGAAGGCTCAAGTGAGCTTTTCCAATCACATTTTGTCCGTCGTCCGTCCGTCCGTCTGTCTGTCCGTCTGTAAACTTTTCACATTTTTGACTTCTTCTCAAGAACCACTGGGCCAATTTTGACCAAACTTGGTACAAAGCATCCTTGGGTGAAGGGGAATTTAAATTGTTAAAATGAAGGGCCAAGTCTCCTCACAAGGGGAGATAATCAAGAAAAGACAAAAATAGGGTGGGGTCATTAAAAAATCTTCTTCTCAAGAACCACTGGGCCAGAAAAGCTGAAACTTATGTGGAAGCATCCTGGGGTAGTGTAGATTCTAAATTGTTCAAATCATGACCCCCAGGGGTAGGGCGGGGCCACAATGGGGAATCCAAGTTTTACATAGAAATATATAGGAAAAATCTTTGAAAATCTTCTTCTCAAGAACCACTGGGCCAGAAAAGCTGAAACTTATGTGGAAGCATCCTCAGGTAATGTAGATTCTAAATTGTTCAAATCATGACCCCCGGGGGTAGGGCGGGGCCACAATGGGGAATCCAAGTTTTACATAGAAATATATAGGAAAAATCTTTAAAAATCTTCTTCTCAAGAACCACTGGGCCAGAAAAGCTGAAACTTACGTGGAAGCATCCTGGGGTAGTGTAGATTCTAAATTGTTGAAATCATGACCCCCGGGAGTAGGACGGGGCCACAATGGGGAATCCAAGTTTTACATAGAAATATATAGGAAAAATATTTGAAAATCTTCTTCTCAAGAACCACTGGGCCAGAAAAGCTGAAACTTACGTGGAAGCATCCTGGGGTAGTGTAGATTCTAAATTATTCAAAAACATGACCCTCGGGGGTAGGGCGGGGCCACAATGGGGAATCCAAGTTTTACATAGAAATATATAGGAAAAATCTTTAAAAATCTTCTTCTCAAGAACCACTGGGCCAGAAAAGCTGAAACTTATTTGGAAGCATCCTGGGGTAGTGTAGATTCTAAATTGTTCAAATCATGACCCCTGGGAGTAGGGCGGGGCCACATTGGGAAATCCAAGTTTTACAATATATAGGAAAAATCTTTGAAAATCTTCTTCTCAAGAACCACTGGGTCAGAAAAGCTAAAACTTTAATATGTGCACATGGAAGCATCCTGGGGTCGTGTAGATTTCAAAATGTCTAAATTATGATCAGTGGGGTAGGATGAGGTCGCAGTATGTATTTAAAGGGGGAAATCTGGTAAAGAACAGAATGGTCAAAGCTTCTCAGGTGAGCGATGTGGCCCATGGGCCCTTTGTTTTAACATTCTTTGTGCCGCGGGCCTATTTTGGGCCTATTTTCAAATACTACGTTAAGTGCCGCGGGCCTATTTTGGGCCTACCGTTAGCTTATTTACGTCACAAGTAAAACTGATTATGACGTTACGTCATCATTCTGAGTTTCGCGCCATTTTAGCCTCTTGTTACAGAAACCCATCATATTACGTTCTACTGAAAAATTTATGTCGGAATGAATATGTTAAACGGGTATTTTATTTGTTTTTGTCACTAGAAAATTAAAATAGTACATTCTGATTTGAAATTAAACAACTTTCTGCGTTTTCAATCCTCGTTTGAGCGATGAAAGCAATCAAAATCCCATACGGAGAAATTTCAAAAAAAAAAATTACTCAGTATTTAGTCTGTCTTCAAAACGGGAATAATTTACTATTACTCATAAAAAAACTTAATGTTTTGATCGTGGAAATACTAGTAATGCTATATCATTTTGTATTTTCTGAAAATAATATTTAACCTTTAATCGTCATGATATATTATAAAGTTTATTACATTAAAACCCTGAAGGGCTTTTTGACAGACTATAAAAAGTTTTAAAGTTTCATCCTCGGGAGCATAACAAAATGAAAGGGTGTATTTCATACATGCCACATAATAAAAAAATCCACAAAGAGACGAGAAACTTTACAAATAAACCCCTCAATTTTTAGCCGGGCTTATTGCTCAAAGAGCAATTGCCGGCTTATGTGATCCTGTTCAAGGCAGGATGTTGACCCCATAGTCGCCATTTTAAAGTTACGTGCAAAAATATAGTTCTTACTCTCAACCGCTTTTGAGATAATACAAACGCTAAATAAAGCAACAAAAATAAAACGAAGTTTTATCTATATAAAATAAATATTAGTAGTAATGACTTTGAAAACTTCATAAGTCGAAGAACATAGTTCATCAATCTCTCACCAGAGGGCGTTTTACGCTCATCGCTCCAACACCTCTGTTATCGTCTAAATTACAAGAATCTTGTAAAACGAAAATAAATAAAATTATAGATTTCCACCAACTTGGTAATTTTTTTTAATGAAATTAGAAATATCAATCTGTAGCACTTCTTTTGTTCTTTCAAAATTTGGATATATATTAAAATAGCTTCAATATATACGGCACTATTTTGTTCTGAATTTTTACACATATTTACATTTTGAAACCAAGGAGACAAAGTCAGGAAATATTTACTACCAGAGAGCTTAAAACATGTAACATTTTTTGAGAAAACATACCAAACAATCAATGTTTATACAATTTTTGTCGACAAATAATTATTTGACAATCCGCGCTACTTTTTAGACGACAACAGAGGTGTAAGCTGAGCGCGCCCTCTGGTGAGAGATTGATAGTTCATTAGCGTAAGGATTTTTGATAATCAGTGTTACCGTAGTTCTCTACACATACGAGGTAAAGCAGGAGAGGGAACCAGACTGGCCTGTGTGTTTACATTCAGCTGCGGTACCAGATTAATTCTGATTCTGACAAAATCGGACCGTGGTATTA